GAAGACCTCTTTCTCTGTCTACCTCTCTCTGTAACTCTTTCAAATAAATTTTAAAAAAAAATCTTTTTTAAAAAAAGAAGAAAACCATGGGGAAGTTTGTTTTCTGGCACATGTACTGGCATTTTAGTTGATGCATATAAAATAGTCATTCTTACCGTGACCATCATTGTCAAGGCGATCAGAATACCCTACATATTTCTAAAAAAGAAAATAGTTTCTGACCCAAAACAAAAGTGTCACATAATAAGAATGTAATTAATAGAGGAACACTGAAACACTCCCAACTGCGGCTGCGAAATTTGTTGTTTAAGATTTTATTCATTTATTTATTTATTTGAGAGGCAGAGTTAGTTACAGACAGAGAGAGGGAGAGAGAGAGAGGAAGGTCTTCCATCCGCTGGTTCACTCCCCAAATGGCTGTAACAGCCTGAGCTCCGCCGATCCAAAGCCAGGAGCCAGCAGCTTCCTCCTGGTCTCCCATGTGGGTACAGGGGCTCAAGTACTTGGGCCATCTTCTACTGCTTTCCCAGGCCACAAGCAGGGCTGGATCGGAAGAGGAGCAGTCAGGATACGAACTGGTGCCCATATGGGATGCTGGCACCACAGATGGAGACAGCCTACTGGGCCACAGTGCTGGCCCCTAACTAAAATTTTTTAAGAATCCTGGCCAGCGCCGCGGCTCACTAGGCTAATCCTCCGCCTGTGGCGCTGGCACCCCAGCTTCTAGTCCCGGTTGGGGTGCTGGAATCTGTCCCGGTTGCTCCTCTTCCAGTCCAGCTCTCTGCTGTGGCCCGGGAGGGCAGTGGAGGATGGCCCAAGTGCTTGGGCCCTGCACCCCATGGGAGACCAGGAGGAAGCACCTGGCTCCTGGCTTCGGATCAGTGCAGCTCCAGCTGGCAGCTCCAGCTGTAGCGGCCATTTGGGGGGTGAACCAACGGAGGGAAGACCTTTCTCTCTCTCTCTCTCTCTGTCTCTCTCTTTCTCACTATCTAACTCTGCCTGTCCAAAAAAAAAAAAAAAAAAATCCTAAAATATTAGTCAATAATACTGATGATTTTCTTCTTTTCTTTTTCCTCCCTCCCTCCCTCCCTCCCTCCCTCCCTCCTTTCCTTCTTGTTTGTTTATCTGAAAGTCAAAGTTAAAGAGAGAGAGAGAGAGAGAGAGAGATCTTCCAAACACTGATTCACTTACCAAATGGCCACAGTGACTAGGGCTGAGCCAGGCCAAAGCCAGGAACTTCCTCTGGGTCTCCCCCGTGGGTGGCAAGGACCGAGGCTCTTGGTCTGTATTCCATCGCTTTTCCCAGGCCATTAGGGGTGGGAAGTAGAGCAGCCAGGACACCAGTCTGCACCCATATGGGATGCTGCTGCCACAGGCAGCAACTTTACCCATTATGTCACAACATGGGACCCTTTTCTCTTTTTCTTAACAGTTGATTAACTATTATTGAATTTAGAGTTATTTTAGTTTTTCGATTGTTATGATGTAAATATATTAGGCAGTAAATGTTTCTAAAGTTTTTGATTTTTTTATATGTTAACAAAACTAAGGTGTAGCTTACATACAGCAAAGTATATGGGTTTGAAATGAATTTGTATATATATAACATTGCCCAAAAGGAGACATACAATGTTCCCAGCATCTGGTAGGCTCCCTGGTATCCCCTCCCATATGATGTCCCTTCCCTCAAAGGTAACCAATTCACTGTTGGGATTTTGAATACCATGAATTAATTTTGCTGTTTCTGAGCTACATGTAAATGAAATTATACAGTATATATTCTTTTCATCTGGTTTTGTTTGTTCAGCATTGTCTGAGATTCAACCTTGTTTGTTACTTGTAACATCACTCATTTTTTAATTACAGTGTAGTATTTTGTTGTATGAATGTACATTATTTATTCATTCTTTCCATTATTATTTAATTTGTTTTAAGTGATGAAACACTTTATAAAATTAATTAAAGTGTTTATCTTAACTTGGGGATTGTTTTGTTCTTTCTTTTGTTCGTAAGCAAGCAACCTATTGCATTGTGATGTAAAGTAATTCAAGGTTCTCAGGTTCTCTAAGTATTAGCAAATCACCTGGATTTGTGAAACGTTAAGTTCAGGGAGCAGTGTTCCCCTTCTCCCTCGTTATTTGGGATAGGAATGGGAGGCACTGATGGGTTTAGTGATTAGGGTAACATTACAGAGAGGTCATTGAAAGAGCTGGGAATGGAAGCCAGGAATCCTAGTATCCTCTTCTCCTGTTCTAGATACATATTAAGCTTTCATTGTGTTGGTAACTTCAGTTTATTCATCTACTTGAATTTACTGGGTATCAATCTTGCTATTTATCCTTTTTTTCTCAGTATATGTTTATTCTTTTCTCCTCAGTGTATGTAATCAGGTTGCAATGAATGATTTTCTTCCATCAACAGATTCTTTTCATTCACTCACTATGGGATTGCTGATAGCCACAGTGTTACATAATACAGTAATATCTTTAATATAAGAAATTACGATTTTTAATTACCTTATTACATTTTGGTGGAAAAGTGAGTCACACTTCCTCCAAAGAAGTATGTTTATGCTTTTACAAGTTTTAATTTTCCAGAAAAAAGAGTCAGGGAATTTATTAGATTGTTTACACAACTGACAATTTTATCCACTTTTTATTGTCTTCTTATGCATGTCCAAAAGTCATTTTCACAAAATAAACAATAGTATTCAAAATTACATAATCAAAGCTTTAGATTTACTTTTTCACACAGCTGAAATGCAGTCAGTGTAACTCAGAGATGAATTTGTATCCATCCTTCTTGAAGGACCACTTGTCCTGCTTTGAACTTCATGAGATATCCAGCATTTGGCAGGATTGGCATTTGTTAAAAAAGGTACCCTTGACACTCCTGATCTCGCCAGCAGCACATGGAGCTTCAGTAGGACGGATGCTAAACCTCGCAGGAGATAATTAGCAAGTGCACTGAAATGCTGCAGCTCCTGGGGAGAGGAGTTCTGTCAGGCACACACTGTCACCCTGCCACCCTCCACACCGCACAGTGGCACAGTGTTTTGGCAGGTGGTTTGGGACTTTGTTTGTTTGTTTTTGTTTTTTGTTTTTGTTTTTGTTTTTATTTTACTATCCTAAAGAATATGGGTTGTTTGGCATGGGACAAAATAATAAATTTGTAGGTCACTGATGCTTTATAACAAAATAAAATAACTCTATGAGCTCTGTTCTTTGGTCATAAAGCTGCTAAATCTTCAGAACCAAGAAAGCATTTTTACATTGCATATTTGTTTTGTTTGTAAAAATCAGCACAACATGCATGTAATGAGTCATCAACACAGGAATTCTTAGTTTCACCCATTGCTTGCTTTCATTTGGTGCACCTCTTTCCCTTTTCATTAATAATGATGGTCACGTGTGAGAAATCTGAGTCCCTCCCTTTACCTTTCTGACTGCACCCAGTCCTTACCCTACTTCTCTATGCTATGACAGCCTTATCTTTATCTCTCTTCCCTGTCAGTGTCCATTTCAGTCTTCCTTTCATTGTCACCTAAACCTGTATCTTTTTAGGGAAACTGACATTGTTCTTGGGCTGCACTTGTGTCCTGGTGTTCCTTAGCTCCTTTGCCTAGCCTGCCCAGTTTGGACTATCATTTGACAAGGATCTAGACTATCATTTGACAGCAGTCAAGCCAAACTGCTGTGAAACCGGGCCCTACTAGCCTGTGATGACAGTTTTTTTTTTTTTTTTAATTTGTCCTGGTATTTTTGACTGATTAAGTCTTTGACATTTATAAAACAGCTTCTTTTTTAACAATCTGCCTTCAGCAGGACCCTGTGCAATCTAGCTCCTGCCTGTAAATTTGTACATATAATAGATACATAGCTCCCCTGGGTTCATACTTTCATGTTATCTTTTAGCCATCAGAATTCAAATTTCACATGCTGGCCTAGAAAATTTAGGTAAAAGGATTTTAAGTACCTTACATATTTGGATTATTACCCACTTTTGACCTACTACTGTTTGTTTGCCCTAAACCCTATGACCACTGGGCTTTAAAATGAATGTTTACAACAGAATCACCACTGTTCTGTTCACTACTATTTACTGAGCTGTAGACATGTTGAGATAAGTGTTTGTTGTAGGAGACTGTCCTGTGTGCTAAGGGATGTTTAGCATCATCCCTTGCCTGTCCCCACTACATACCAGTCACTCCTCTGTAGTTGTGAAAGTCAGAATGTCTCCAGACATTGCCAGATGTCCCCTGGAGGCTAACATCACCATCACTTGGGAACTGCTGGTTTAGGTCTTTCTACTTTATACTTCTGCAGCTATCTCCTCATAGGAATATAAATGATTCCAGAACTGCAAGTAACCTGTTTATCAAGAGTGATTGGAAAATGACATATTTAGGGTTTTTATTCATTCATGTATTTATTCAATAAATATTGTTAACAGGACTTGAGCTGGAGTCTTGTTCAGATAAGCTAGAGTTTAGACAAATTCAAGTACTTTGTCACTTAGAAATGATTTTTGAGGTAAATAAGGCATTGCTGTCCTTGTTTTACTGATGGATCCCTTTATATATAGTTGTAAATTTCAAGATCATATTGGCTTTTGAAAGTACCTTGCGTTTTACTTTAATATTAATAATGCCATTGAAAGTATATCCTTTCTGTGAAATCTACACTCTGATGAAATGGAGTATTGAGATTATTTATGTGTATTACATCATATCAGTTTTAGATTTTGATCATCTGAATGATTTGAAGCTGAGGATTTTTATAGATAATGTAACATATATACCCTCAGAGAAGAGATATGACAGTAGCAGGCATGACCAAAGTTTAGTAATATGTCCTTTTGATCTTTAAAATGTCTTTTGTAACGATTGTTACAGAATTATAAAGTTTATAGACCCTTCAGCTTACTTTTTATATGATAAGCAATTTGCTTCATCTGTTATCTTTGTTATTCTTTTGTTTTGATTTTATTTATTAACACAGAAAAACTTCACTGGCCTGAGCAAGAACTTGCCAAGAAGTCTGTTCTAAATGCAGAAGAATCCTTGATCATTGACAGCAAAAGAAGCCTTTCGCATTTGTCCTCTGGAATTCTAAAGGATATTTTCACAACTGGAACCAGTAGCTATAATGTCCTACTGCAGAGCAAGGAGGAGAAAAAGCATCATTCACAAAAACAGTCATCCTCCACCTGCTCCAAAAGATGTAGAAAGCCCAGCAAATCTCCTAGCTCTTCTCGTAGTAAAGATCCTCGTAGGATGAAAACCCCTGTGCCTGTGATGAGCAGTGGTACTTGGTACTGCCTAGAGAGGCAGCCTGCTGTTTTTGTCACTAGTTCAGTGTCAAGTCCTGTTAAGTTTATGCATGATATCTCTGTTACAGGGAGCAGCATAGTACTGCCACCTAAACCAAAAAGCAAAGTCAAGAGGCACTATTTCTCTACTCTTCCAAAGCCAAAGCAGCAGCCTCAGCTGTCTAGAAGCTTTGAAAAAGGCGATGATTTCTCTGGGAAGAAATTTTGTATATTGACTGCTATAAAGCCCACCAACTTAGAAAAAGAAAAACTCAGATTCTTCAGGTCTGACTATACCTACAATCCTCAATTTGAATATGCTAATCCTGCTCTACCAAGTGTGTTAGCTAAGCACAGCAATGCATCAGACCGATTCCTTAAGCAGGTAAGATGCCACTTTAGTAGTGGTATTTCATTTCTATGTAGCTGAAACAATAACCTATGATCTTATAAACAAAAAAATTCCAGTTATTTGTATATAGATCCATGATAAGTCAGGTGAGCAGTATCCCTGTATATAAACTACTATTTAAATATAAAGTAATATCAGTAATATTCAAAAATAGAAAAAGCTTCAGATTGTGGTTCCAGACTTTCATTTAGGAGTTAACAAATTTGTGGCTTATTAGCCAGCCCACAAACAAATGTTGTGAGCCCAGGCTGTGTTTTTGCTTTCTAATTGATTTTTTTACTGCCTTGGAGCCAGCAATCTGTGGTTCTCCCTGTTGTGCTATATTAGCTTGCATGGTTAGGCTCCTATAGACAGCTGGGGGATTTAAGCTTGATTTTTGCCCATGAACTTGTTAATGCTTCACTAAAATTATTGATCATCAGCAAATAGTCATTTAAAGAGGAAATGATGAAATTTTGAAAATTATCTGTAGGATGGACAATTCACCCAGTGGTTAAGATACTATTAAGATGTACACATCCCATCATCGGGGTACCTGGGTTCAATATGCAGCTCTGGCTCCTGTTTCCAGCTTCCTGCTAATGCAGACCCTGGGAGGCAGCAGTGGTGGCCCAAGCAGTTGAGTTCCTGCCACATGGGTGACCCAGATAGCATTTCTGGCTTCCAGCCTTGGCACCACCCCTCCCCCTGCCTCACAGCCATGGGGTGGGTATTTGGGAAATAAACCATGGCTCCCCCAGGCCATAGAAGAGAGCTGGATCAGAAGAGGAGCAGCTGGGACTCAAACTGGTGCCATTACGGGATGCTGGCACTGCAGGCGTCGGCTTCACTGGCTGTGCCATAGCGCCAGCCCCAATTCCTCAACACTTTGATTTGGAGGGAAGAAGGAGGTTTCCCACTGTACAGTCAGAGCGAATGCTCCCTGCGCTTGAAGGCAGTCTGGGAGCATTGGCAGCCCCACGGATGGGGAGCTGACGCTGCTTGGCCTGTGGCTTTACACCTTTATTCTACCCTACTTCCAGCTTCAGGAGACCAAACGTAACCTCGGAACAATTTAAACTAAATAGCACCAGCGATCCTAGCTGGCTTCAAATGCCACTTTTGTAAGAATGCTCTCAGTAAGTGCCGGATCTGCTGGTTAAACCACTTTAATCAAATAAAAGAAACTCATACAAGGCCTCTAGAAAACATACTTAAATTTCTGTTTGCATCTGAGTGATTTGTAACATCGTGTCATATGAGTGATCTCAAAAAATTCATGGAAAATGCATATTGCGTGGGTTTCAATATACCTTGCATCAAAATAAACTACCAAATCTATTTTCTTGTGAGCTTCTTGAAGGATCCTCATCCATCCTTCTCCCCAGCTGTGAAGCTAATAAAACAACAGCTTCAGTGCTGGTCTCCAGAACTCAGAAACCTGGGTTTTTCCGGCATGACCAAGCAGCCTCATGGTCTGCAGTCTCCACCCTTGAGGCCTCGCCAGCCCCCAGCCAACAGTCCAGCTGAGTTTCATAATCTGATAGTAATATAATCGGTATGCAGAGATCTATGCTTTATCTTAAAATTAAATGCTATCCTAATTGTGAGTTTTGCATTATATTTCACAATGCATCTTCGTTTTAATATGGAAATATATAAATTGCTTGTCTTCAAGCAAGATGGATACTTAAAGGAACAAATAAGGAGCAGCCTCCCATGTCTCTGGCATCTGAGGCATCTCCCACAAGGAGCCACTTGTTCCTGGGAGATTTCACATGAACATTCACGTCACTTACGATACGGGCCCAAGTCACAGAAAAAACCGTGACATCTAGAAGGTGGCCTAAATAGAAGAGGTCATGGTAAGGTACCATCCAGGGAGGGAGAGACATTGCCTGCAAAGGCAGAGCACTGTGTACCTCATAGCAAGCAGGGGTTCCAGCTGGAACAAAATCATAATTATGCTGAGAACAAACATATCAGCTTTCTAATAATAAAACACTAAGTGGTATTTTGATTTCTTATAAACAGATATGTCCATGGGCAAACGAGTATAGTTGCACTGTTGGGAAGAAAACTACAAGAAATAGTTCATTTTACAAAAGGTGTTTGATGTCTCTCCAAAAAGCCTTTTTCTATTACAGCCATGTTAGTTAAGAGGTAGGTTGTAATTTGATATTAGTGTACTTTTTTTTAAAATGTATTTATTTATTTGAAAGCAGAGTTACAGAGAGAGAGAGGAAGAGACAGAGAGGGAAATCTTCCATCTGCTGGTTCATTTCCCAAATGGCCGCAATGACCAGGGCTGCGCCAGGCCAAAGCCAGGAGCTTCTTCTGGGTTTCCCATGTGGGTGTGGGGGCCCAAGCACTTGGACCATCCTCTGCTGCCTACCCAGACCATTAGGAGGGAGCTGGATCAGAAGTGGACCAGCCAGGACTCAAACCAGTACCCATATGGGTGCCAGCGTAGCAGGCATCAGCTTAACTCCCTATGCCAAAATGCCTGCCCCAATGTTAATATATCCTATGTATATTATATATTTAAGTGAAAAAATTGATATGCTTGTTTAACTTTAGTGTCCTAATTTTTTCTTTATCACTTCAAAAAATTAATTCAAATTAATTGTCCCATACTTCCAGGTTAACTTTGTAGTTACTGGAAAATCTCAGGGGTATTTAAAATAGAGAACAAGAAAGGATTCTGATTCTGACAGCTTATCTTTTTTCTGTATAGAAGCAACAGAATACACAACATTCTATGCCATAGCAATGTATTTACATTTATAGAGTTCAGATACTCTAAGTACCTAGAGGGACCAACTTCATTATATTAGGAAAGAAATTCTGATTTCTATCTTCCTGGGTAATGAATTTTATGTAATCATGGTACAGTGGGATCACAAACTCAGGAGACTACAGGCTCTGGGCAGGGTCATAAATGATTGCAGTAGCCACCTGGGCACAGTAGCAAATTGGAGACCAGCATTTAGCTTGAACCACAGTTTGGATCCTGGTTATTTCATTTTCAGGGTTTATAAAGCTGATTTTTTTATATGAAGTGTTTGAGTTTGTAAACATTGATACCTAATTTAACTAAACAAGCAGGTGCCCACGTCATGAAATTCGTTTGTTGGTTGCCAGATTTTCCAGATCTGTTAGGCATGGGCCCCATTCTATTAAGGACAAATAATTAGCATAATATAAAGACTTTTAAATGGAGCCCTCTAAAGATGATTTTAGGGTTTATATTATGAATGGAATAGGCAATTCATTGTTATATTAAAATGTACACATAATAGATGAAAACATAAAATCATAAACTATGCTCAAAAACAAGACGGGTATTCTTTTCCTGTTTTGATAAGAAAAAATTAGAAATAAACTGCCTTCACTAATAGGATATACTGGCATAAAATTTCTTTAAGGATAAGTTGTAACTGTACTAGATTGCAGTAGTCCTCATGTTGTCGAAACAATGAAGGGCAGGAAAAAGAAGCCTTCTTCAAATTAAACCGCCCCTTGAAGGCATGATTTTCTGCTTAGCAAATCACAGAGCTCTCAGATACCTTTAAGTTAGAAGGTTTTTTAAAAGATTCTTTGGAGCTCAGAATGTTCCATGGTAGCTTTGTGTGTCAGATTGGAGAAGTGGAGTCATTTCTTAACCTAATTGCAAGGCAGATTTTCTTACCGATCAAAGTTGGGAACACCCCAATCAGATTGTGTGTTCTGGATGACTTGTTGAAATGCTTTGTTCATTTACTTTTGAAAGCTAACTAATGTGCACATTCTCAGGTTCTTATCTTAACAGGGTCTTTCCTACAAAACGGCTTGAATATCTACTTTTTCCATTGTAAGGTTTGAAAGAATAGTCAGTACTAAGCTGTTAATGCTTATAAATATCTTTTCCTGGTAATGTTCCCTTCTCGTTTTCCCACTCTCCCTTGTGTGCATCCAGACTCCCCCAACCCTGACAAAATGAAAATGCAGACAGGGAGAACCAAGGACAGGGGAGTAGGAAAGGACGCAGGTGACATTTTCTTTCTTTGCCTGGCTGTGTCATTCATTGAAAGCAAACTCAATGTCTGAGATCAATGTTTCCTGGGTCCTACATTTGTATAATATAATATACTCCTTATAAAATAGCTTGATGGTAATTTCACACAATATTTTTAAAATTTTTGCACATAAACCAGTTTTATGTGTAGATTTTTTTTACTTGCGGCATCGTATTTGTGCTCAGAGTTTCAGATTAGTGTTAGTGATACTCAACTTGCGTTCCCTTTTGCCTGGAATGCCCCCTTCCCTCTAATACTGCACTTCTATTTATCTTCTCTCAGTGACCTCACAATATTTATAAAACTCTTCAAAAGTACTAGTATATCATATCTATTTCTGTGTCATCTCTCCATTCTAATAATAGGCCAGGGATCCAGATTCTAAAAAATATGGTGGTAAAGGGATTGGCACATAGCAAGTGACCATAAAGATGAATGAATGAGTGAATTCATAGATAAATGAGTAGTCTTTTTGCTGATTTGCTAGAAATTTAGTGAGGAACTTTATAAACAGTGGGTCCAAATTTGTGGCCCATGGGACCAGATTAGCCTGTCTCATATCTTTTGTTTGGCCAATACAGTGCTTTTTAAAACATTGAACTGTAAAGATGTTCTTCTGTTGCTCTTATAAGCAATAGTTTTACACAGTGGCTACTGCATCCAGTTAGTTGAAAGTATTTAACTGTGTGACCACTGCTCTAGGGTCTCCATTAGTCTGTGGCTACAGTACCTTAAATGAGGCCCAATGACTTGATTGAGTCATGAAAAATCTTTATATATTTAGTTGGTACCAGAGAGAAATAGCCACAATTGAAAAACTCATTTAGTGTTTACAAGTTTGCTTTCCATTCTGAGGGTCTCAAAGTAGCAGTGTGTGTGTGTGTGTGTGTGTGTGTCCCATGATTATCTGAAGTAACCATTTTTCAACGGTTCTGAGAACACCAAATAAGAAAAAGGGTCTATGTAAGTTAGAAAACACATATTAATATATTCTTTTCCAAGTTTTACCATACATAGTATCACAAAAAAGGCTTGGGAAGAGTCTTTTGTTTAACTTTATTTCATCCAATATTTTCCAAACTCATTTGGCCATGGAACCCTTTAACAAATATCTTGTAGATCTCTTTGCCTTAAAAAACAGTTTGAAAAATGCTGGCTCACAGAAAAAGACTGTCTGATCTCCTAGGAGTTATTCAATATGGGCGGGAGGGGCTTCTAGATTTTATTTATAATTTTCTGAAAAGAGGAGGAGTGAAGGAAGGGTTGGGATTAGGGATTAATTAGTAAGGTAAGGAAAACATTACCTTGAATAAAAAGTTGGAAGGCAAACCAATATCTTACATTTCTAAAATTAAAACCTAGCGATCTTCTGGAAAAGCTTAAATACTGTGTGCATTCGGAGGGGAGGTAGTTTGCACAGCACAGTCACATCCCTCCTCCCCACTTTGTCCCTGCAGCAATCCGGTTAGGTGAGTAGGCAAAGATTTTCATCTCCATTTTGCCAGTGAAGAAACAAAACCTGAGCAAGGTAAAAGGACATGCCTAAGATCACACAGTCAGCTAATGGTAAGGGCTCACCTAAAACCAGGTCTCCTGACTTCTAGTCCCACAGCATCACCCTACTTCATATCGTGTTACTGTCTCTGATGTATTTGGTTTTCCACTGGGTGAAAACTGCGGTTGAGAGTTTTTTAACACATGATGTTGAAGTGGCTCGTGAATGATGGTCAGATTTCCAAATTGCTGATCAGTAAACAGAATCAGCAAGTAAACCAAAAGTATGTATTTGCCTGAGATCCTTCTCACATTTTTTAAAAGTTTTATTTATTTATTTACTTATGTATTTTTACTTGAAAGGCAAAGTGACAGAAATAATTCTGATGATTCATTCCCCAAACGAATGGTTGGGCCAGGCTGAAGCCATGATCTGGAACTCCCATCTGAGTCTCCCATGTGGATAGCAGACATCTAAATAGTTAAGCCATCACCTGCTGCCTCCCAGGGTGCACATTAGCAGAAAGCTGGATGAAAATAGATCAGGGATTTAGACCCAGATACTTTGGCATGTGATTCAGGCATCCAGTGCAACATCTGAACGGTTGTGTCACAATGCTTATCCCCTTTCTAATGTTTTACTGTGCACTTGAATCACCCGGGGATCTTGTAGTGGGCATTTAGGCTAGCAGTTAAGACAGCTGGTTCAATTCCTGGCCGCAGCTTCTAGCCAGTGCACATTCTGGGAGACAGGGGTGGTGGCTCAAGTAATTGGAGTCCTGCTATCCACGTGGGGACCTGGATTGTGTTCCCTGCTTGAGGCCGTAGCCCCAGCCCTGTCCAGGCCAGTGCGCACTTTGGGGGATAAACAAGTAGAGGGAGGAGCTTATTCCTTGTGCCTCTCCCTCTGATTCAGTAGGCATAAGGGTAATAGGAGGCTTCAGTTCTGTGTTTGGAACCAGCTCCCACACCACACCAGAGGTGCTAGCCCTTGGACCTCACTTTGAAGGGTAAACCTTTCAATAACAGTTTCAGTAAATCAGCGAGGCAAAGCATACTGAGGGCATTGCTTATTGTGATAACTTTATGATACATGCTCGGTTTATTAGTAATTATGTTCTTCTGGTATACATGATATATATGTTGAGTTCCAATTCGTAGCAAGTAAGCTTTTCTGCAGTTTTTGTGTCAAGCAGGTTGTCTGTATCAACAGCAGTTGTCAGCAATGTTCACGCACCGGTGGTAATGCGACAGTCAGCACGTGTTGTCTTGTTATGTCTCAGACATGCTTTACAAGAGTCGGTTAAACTTCCTCATCAAAAACACGAAGTAGACATTGTTATTATTATCCCCATTAATAAATGAGGAGACTGAGTCACAAGTTTAGTGACTCACCCAAGGTATCACGGCCAGAAGTGACAGAGCCAGGGTATCAACTCAGGTGTCCAACTCTAGAGCTTGTACCTTATATCCTTGCTACCCCAATGACAGTCTAGAAACTACAGACTTTATATGACATATATAAGAATTTTCTAGTTTGTTTCACAGTTCATGTAAGATATATTTGAGTTTTCCAGCTTCTTTCCCAAAAGGCCATTGAAGAGCAGTTTTCTTCTTACATGTTCTTTTCTTGTGGCCTTCCTGCTGATACTGGTGAATTACATTGTGATTCATTACCAGTTTTATTTTGTTTTTTGCCTTCCAGCCTGCATATGTGCCTTTGGAGAAAAATACCTCAACTTTTTTACTGCTTTGTTGTAAGAATTTATGAAGGATGAAAAGTAGAAGGTATCCTACTGTGAACAAAAGATAAAAAGTTTCTTTTTTTTTTTTAAGATTTATATGTTTATTTGAAAGGCAGAATTACAGAGAGAGAGAGAGAGAACTAGAGAGAGCAAGAGAGAGAGAAGGAGAAACATCTTATGCTGGTTCACTCCCCAAATGGCTGCAACGGCTGGAGCTGGGCCAATCTGAAGCCAGGATCCAGGAGCTTCTTCCCCTTCTCCCACATGGGTGCAGGGGCCCAAGAACTTGGGCCTTCTTCTACTGCTTTCCCAGGTGCATTTAGCAGGGAGCTGGATTGGAAGCGGAGCAGCCAGGACTTGAACAAGTGCCAATATGGGATGCCAGCACTGCAGGTGGCAGCTTTATCCACTACACCACAGCACTGGCCCCCTTTTATTTTGTTTGTTTTTTTTTTTTTGTTTTTGAAAATTTATGTATTTATTTGAAAGAGTTACAGAGAGAGAAAGAGAAACAGAGAATCTTCTGTCTGCTCTTTCATTCCTCATATGGCCACAATGACCAGGACTGGGCCAGGCCAAAGCCAGGAGCCAGGGGCTTCTTCTGGGTCTCCCACATGGGTGGCAGGGGCCCAAGTACTTGGACCATCTTCTGCTGCTTTCCCAGGTGCATTAGCAAGAAGCCGGATCAGAAGTGGAGAAGCTGTGACTGGAGCCAGTGATGCCAGCACTGTAGGCAGTGGCTTAACCTGCAGCACCACAGCTCCAGCCCCAAAGGTTTCTTATTTATGTTGTTTTCTGCAACAAGAGCCACTTAGGAAAACAGCAGATTTTTTGGATTGTTATGGAAGACTGCTTGATCCTTCTTCCAGTTTTCAGAAGTCCGATTTTTCTTTATCTGAGAGAGAACTGTAATGGAGCGATGTGCGGAGACACTTTCCACTCATTTCTCCCGCCAAACCTCCAGGTACTCTCGGGCAGCCAGGAGCCTCTCTGTTCCAACTGATTAGACTCCTAGATATCAGACCTGCTTGAGTACCTGAGCACGAGCCTCTCCATCTCCAGGTAAAGGAGAGTGCACAGGCTTTTGTTGAAATTTGTGAAAATAAGGCCGGCGCCGCGGCTCAATAGGCTAATCCTCCACCTAGTGGCGCCGGCACACCAGGTTCTAGTCCCGGTCAGGGCGCCGGATTCTGTCCCGGTTGCCCCTCTTCCAGGCCAGCTCTCTGCTGTGGCCAGGGAGTGCAGTGGAGGATGGCCCAAGTGCTTGGGCCCTGCACCCTATGGGAGACCAGGATAAGTACCTGGCTCCTGCCATCAGATCAGCGCGGTGCGCCAGCCGCAGTGCGCCAGCTGCGGCAGCCATTGGAGGGTGAACCAATGGCAAAGGAAGACCTTTCTCTCTGTCTCTCTCCTTCACTGTCCACTCTGCCTGTCAAAAAAAAATTTTTTTTAAAAATTGTGAAAATAAGTGGAAATCGTTTAGGATTAGAAAAATGTGGCACTTATTTGCAATGTAGTCTAGGTATCAGGTCACAGTAAATAAGAATAATGGTATTTATGGTATTACTCATCTCAAAGTAATATGAGGTTATTTACTTATACAGTTTCATTCTTTTACAGTCCATCAATATCATGGAACTAACTTTACAGAAATACGGAAGTTATGAAAAATTTGAACAAGCCACTGGTGGTAGCTTGCTCTCCAAAACTCGCATCTGGAGTCATGTCAGGAAGTACATGATGAAGGAAGGCTGCTTGGGAGAGGTAGGAACCATGGGGAACCACGAGGACCCGACTTGGCATTCTAACTTCTTTCTTTCTGCAAGCTTTTTTTGCCCAACCCTATTTTACTCATGAAATTAGTCACCCAGATTTCTCATTAAACATCAGGGGCCCTAAAAGAAAGAACTTGTGGAAGAATGGGATTAAAAATATGCTGATTTCGGTACAAAAAATTGAAATCTATACATAGAAGGGGCCTTCAAAAACTGCATAATTTGAAAATGCATACTCTGAAAAAGACTCTTCAGTTTCATACTGTTTTCTTCTTTTCACTGCCATGTCTGCATTGCAAGTGAAATTATATGAATCACTTTATAAAAATTGTTAGGAAATTTGCCCTGTTGATCTACTTGAAAGCCTTGGGCTGGCAGCTAGCAAGACTCAGGCTCCTGTACCTTCACTTGAGTCTTATTAGCCGAGGACTGTATTTGAGACACACCAGAGGTACAGGTTCAAATCCTCTGTCTTTCTCAGCACAGCCGTCTACTTTCTCTTCAACCCAAGAAGGAGTCTTGAGTTCCCAAAAGGGTCAAAATTAGGAGGTTCAAAGGTGACTGCACCTTTCATCTTCTAGATTTCTTGGAGAGTCAGTGTCGTTGTAAACAACACCAAAAAAACAAGTCTTCAGTTTCTGGGTCCGTTGCTTTTGATGAAAGCTTTCTTGCCCTGCTTTTGCCTGTTGTTTTATGTGTGTGTGTGTGTTTGTGTGTTCTTCCTTAGATTGTGGTTCATCTCACTGAGGATCTGCTTTCCCGAGCTTCAATGACAGTAGTGAATGGATGTCCAACTCTAACCATCAATGTTTCCACTGCACGTGAGCACTGGCTGGAGGGAATGCTGAGGCATGAAATAGGTACTGGTGACCCTTTTCCATTTGCTCATTTGTAATATCAGGAATTAGCCCTAAAGAAGTACTCTTTTAGGATGTGGTTTTGGTTTTTTTTTTTTTTTTCAGTGTTTCCCAAAAAGTCATGGTGGTTCAGCTTCAGCTGAACTAAAGGTGATACATTTCTGTCTCATTTCAAACTATTTAAGGGCACTGTTTAGCTGTGCTAGGCTTAGAAAGCCATATAAATCATCTGCATTTCAATTCTACCATCATAACTGAGAGGTTCAGTTCAATGTGAGATTCTTTTTAAGTAATTCAAGTTTATGATTCTTCTCTTTAGAAAATAAGTTGTTTTTAGGCACACATCATTTTGGTTTTAGAATTGTTGATAGAATTTTTTTTTGAGGAAGGGAAGAAGAATATGCAAGTAATGCAAGAATGGCACTACTGTCACTCATGGGCCTTTTCTTCATAGGCACACATTATTTTCGAGGTATTAACAATCTCCAGCAACCATGGAATAGTTGGACTGGCCGTAAGAAACATGAGCTAAAGCCCAACAATCCCACAGAGGAAGGACTGGCAAGTATTCACAGCGTCCTGTTCAGAAAAGACCCCTTTTTATGGAGGGCTGCCCTCCTCTACTACACTGTGTATCGAGCCAGCCAGATGTCCTTCTGTGAACTCTTCAAAGATATTGGCAAGTTTGTCAAGGACCCCAATACAAGATGGGATTACTGTGTACGAGCCAAGAGAGGATGGACTGATACTTCCCAACCAGGTGGGTGTCCCTTGGCTGCAGGTTTTCTGACTTACTGGCCAGGTTGTCTCATAATTTTGGTAATACCTTAATCCCCGAATAGGAGAATCCATGCATGTCTGACTTTGTTATGTGAGGTCATTGCAGTTTTCCAAGACTATTTTTTCTTAGCTTTATTTTTACCCAGCTTATTTTGAAAATTTTAGTCCAACAGAATGTAGATCAAACATCTGTATACTGTTCATCTAGATTCACCAGTTGCTTGTTTTGTTTTGTTTTGTTTTGTTGACAATCTTGCTTTCTCCGACTTTTTAAAAAAGCTTTATTGAGATAATTCACATTCACATACCATACTTCATTGGTTTTTAGGATATTCACAAGGTTATGAAATCATCACCACTAATTCCAGAATGTTTTTGTCATTCCTAAAGGAAACCAGTTACACATTAGAAGTCATTCCTGTTTCTTCTCCTCCCCCTCAGTTCTAAGCAACCACTTTTAGTGGTTTTTAATTTTAGTCTTTGTAGCGTTACCTATTTTGGACATTGCATATAGATGAGATCATGTGATATGTGATCTTTGTGGTGGCTGGCTTCTTTCAATTAGCATGTTTTCAAGATTCACTCAAGTTGCAGCATTTTTACTACTAAATTGGTATTCCACATTTTATTTATCTGTTTGCTAGTGATGAACATTTAGGTTGTTTCCACTTGATTATTTTTGTAGTTTTTTATTTATTTGAGAGGCAGAAAGAGACAGACAGAGCTCCCATCCACTTGTTCACCCCTGAAACGCCTGAAACAATCTCAACTGGGTTGTGGCTGGAGCCTGAGCCAGGAGCTGGAAATACAATCCAGGTTTCCCATGTGAGTAGCAGGAACCCTGAGCCAGGAGCTGAAAATACAGTCCAGGTTTCCCATGTGAGTAGCAGGAACCCAATCACTTGAGCTATCACCATTGGGTCCCAGATCTGCTTTGGCAGGAAGCTGCAGTCAGGAGCCAGAACCAAGAATTGAAGCCAGGCACTCCAGTGTAGAACTTAGGCATCTTAACTGCTAGGCTAAATGCCTGCTTCTGTTTCTGCTTTCTGCCTACTATGAATAATGCTGCTTCAAACATTTCTATACGTTTGTTCAGATAAGTTTCCATTTCTCTTGGACATATATCCATGGAACTGTTGAGTCTTACGGCAACTCTATATTTAACCTTTTGAAAAGGCTGTTTACCAAAGCAGCTTTACTTTTTTGTGTACATTATACGGCTTCAGAAATAAGCACTCTTTTTCTTCCTCAGGGTGTTTCAGTAAAGACCAGGTGTACTTGGATGGAATCCTTCAGATCCTCCGATACAGAGAGAGCATCGACTTTCATCTGCTCACTGCCCTGGGGAAGGTGAGTACTGCCAGGGGCACGTAGTCCCCAGACAGACACAGCCACGCAGCAGCGTCTTTGTTTTTTTTTTTTCTTTTTTTTTCTTTTTTTTTCTTTTTTTAACACAATATTTGTTTATTTAATACGTGTTTCTTTATTTTTTAAGATGTATTTATTTATTTCAAAGGCAGATAGGGAGAGGCAGAGGCAGAGGCAGAGAGAGAGAGAGAGAGAGAGAGAGAATCTCTCTGCTTGGTTCACTCGCCAAATTGCTGCAACAGCCAGGCCTGGGCCAGGCTGAAGCCAGGAGCCAGGAGCTTCTTCCCCTTCTCCCACATGGGTACAGGGGCCCAAGCACCTGGGCCATCTTCTGCTGCTTTCCCAGGCACATTAGCAGGGAGCTGGATAGGAAATGGAGCAGCCAGGACATGAACTGGCATCCATATGGATGCTGGCCCTCTGGGCATTGGCTTTACCTGCTATGTCACAGCGCAGGCCCAGAGAGCAGCATCTTCTCCAGCTAGATTTTGTGATTAAAAAAGACTCTGGTTCAGGCACTTTTTTGCTTCGTTGTTGGGATAAATTTCTTTCATGTGATAATGGAAAGGAAAAAATAAGGTTCTTTCATAGAACCAAATTGCAAAAGTGCTTTGTAATCAATAAGATAAAGAATGAATAGGAAAGTTGGGAATCTATACAGTTTGGTTTTTACATATATCTTTTTTTTTTTTTTTTTTTTTTTTTTTTTTTTTTTTGACCAGGCAGAGTTGGACAGTGAGGAGAGGAGAGACAGAGAGAAAGGTCTTCCTTTGCCGTTGGTTCACCCTCCAATGGCCGCCGCGGCCGGCGCGCTGCGGCCGGCGCACCGCGCTGATCCGATGGCAGGAGCCAGGAGCCAGGTGCTTTTCCTGGTCTCCCATGGGGTGCAGGGCCCAAGCACCTGGGCCATCCTCCACTGCACTCCCGGGCCACAGCAGAGGGCTGGCCTGGAAGAGGGGCAACCGGGACAGAATCCGGTGCCCCAACCGGGACTAGAACCCGGTGTGCCGGCGCCGCTAGGCGGAGGATTAGCCTAGTGAGCCGCGGCGCCGGCCTCATATATCTTTTTCTTAAAAGCATCATTTTCTAAAAGTAAGATAAAGCTGTAACACTTTCCTATTTAATATCACCAAAGGACAGGAATATTCTCTGAAATAATCATATGATTTTCTTATTAAGAAATTAATTGTTGACTTAATATAATATCTAAATCTAAATCACTTTGATTTCCCCAAAATGTCATTTGTAGTTCTTGTTTTGTGATCCAAGTACTTATCAAGGCTTATCCATTGCATTTGTTATAACTTTCATTTTTTAAAATCTAGAACAGTTGTTCTCACCCAATTCTTTTTGGTTTTCATGACATTTTTAAGCATCAATGACAGTTCCTTGGGAACTCCTACAATCTGGATTGTCAGATGGTTTCCTCGTGATGACATTCAGGATAAACATTTTTGCCAAGGATACCAACTAAGTACTGTTGTGTGTTTCTCTTGCAGCACATGTCATTTTGCCCTTTTATTAGTCACATTGTGTTTGTGCACCTGGCTAAGTTAGTGACTCCCAGATTTTTTCATTGTAAAGATTCCTTTCCCTTGTTGTGTTAGTAAGTGATCTGTGGGGTAATGCCTATGAATAGACTCTTCTTTAACAGCCTTTCAAAGAATGGTTTTGATATCCATGGATGGTCTTTACTCTTATCAATGATAACACCAGTGGGGAAAAATGAAGGTCTTTTACTTCTGTTATATTTCTTTTTTAATTCCCTTTTTTTGTAGGATTGTGAACTTTCATTTTTTTCAACTCTTGATGACTGCACCTGTGCTTTGTTTTTTACAGTTAAAAGTTTTAACATTTATTTTCATTTTATTAGAAAGGCAGAGAAACAGAGACAGAGATCTTTCATCTACTCGCTCATGCCCAGATGGTGACAACAGCTGGGGCTAAGAGCTTGGAACTCAATCAAGGCCTCCCACATGGGTGGCAGGGACCCAAGTAGCTGAACCTCCCAGGGTGTGCATTAACAGAAAACTGGAATTGGAAATGGAGCTGGGGCTTGAACCAGGCACTGCAATATGGGGTACAGGTGTTCCAAGGGGCCTAACCTCTATGCCAAGTGCCTACCCATCCTTTGTTCTGTTAAAACATGTCTCCATGTCTTCTGGCAGATAAAATGTTCTGGGCTCCTTTGTGCTTTTCTTCCTTTTTAAACCCAAATCTAAGATTCACCATCTCTTAAACAAAGCTTTTATTCTGGTTAGTGGGAAATAGTGTTCAGAAAACAGGATCTGAGCACTAGTTGGGCTCCCTGCCCATGGCCTGCTCTTGCCTCTAGACCGTTCAGTGATCAAATCATCCCCACCTGTTCTAGATCACAGTAGGGGCCGGCGCCACGGCTCAATAGGCTAATTTCCGCCTTCAGCACCGGCACCCCGGGTTCTAGTCCCGGTCAGGGCGCCAGATTCTGTCCCGGTTGCCCCTCTTCCAGTCCAGCTCTCTGCTGTGGCCCGGGAGTGCAGTGGAGGATGGCCCAGGTCCTTGGACCCTGCATCCGCATGGGAGACCAGGAAGAAGCACCTGACTCCTGGCTTCAGATCAGTGTGGTGCGCCGGCCACAGCGCATGGGCCACAGTGGCCATTGCGGGGTGAACCAATAGAAAAAGGAAGACCTTTCTCTCTGTCTCTCTCTCTCACTGTCCACTCTGCCTGCAAAAAAAAAAAAAAAAAAAAATCACAGTAGGCACAGTAATCCCACTTCAAGTCAGACCCCCAGTGTTCCTTCCCACTTTGCTTCCTGTTCCATATTTATACCTGCCTTTTCTCAAAATGAGCACCTTGTTTTTCATATATTAGTATATTTACTCATTCTCTCCTATAATAAGCTCAAAATGGTTTAAGAATTGCTAACCATACCAGTGTCAACAAATCTATCTTCATTCCATTTAGTGATATAAATGTCAAATAAATAATTTTAAAAATAATAAAAACATTTAAAAACCTAATAAAATGCAGATATAAAATGAATGCCTGAAAGAGTGTTGATCAGAATATAATATTTAAAGTAAATTATGTTTTGGAATTTAACAATGTAAAGGTAATTTATAAAACTTAAAAATTTTCACTCAGGGCCGACGTTGTGGCATAGTAGGTTAAGCCTCTGCCTGCAATGCCAGCATCCCATAAGGGCAACAGTTGGAACCTCAGTTGCTCTGCTTCCAATCCAGTTCCCTGCTAATGCTCCTGGGAAAGCAGTGGAAGATGGCCCAAATGCTTGGACCCCTCTAGCAGCATGGGAGACACGGAAGAAGCTCCAGGCCTCTGGCAGCAATTTGGAGAGTGAATTGGCAGATGGAAGATCTCTCTCTCTCTCTCTGTCTCTTCTCCTCTCTCTGTAACTCTGCCTTTCAAGTAAATAAAATAAATAAATAAAAAATAAAAAAATTTAACCCCTAAACCTAATACATATACCTTCTAACATAGTAGAATGAAAGATGAAATTTTTTAAAATGCTTAGAAAAATTCAAAATAAATGCAAGAGAATATAACACAGATCCCACCTCTTGTTTCCCAGATTAAATAGAAATAGGAATCCGATGTCATAGTGCTAATTTTCCTCATTTTCTAACAAAGCATTTGCAGCCTAGCTGTTTTCTTGACCTTTTAATTTAGATTTATTTAGTCAGGAGATTTGTTTGGATTTAGAGTCTTTCACACACACACACACGCACATATTAATTGTAGTTGTCTGATTTTGGGGCAAACAGTATATTTAGGAGTAGAGTGTTGAATGACCTTGATCTCTGTATTTTTTTATTTTTTAATTTATTTGAAAGGAAGTATTACTGAGAGAGGAGGAGGGACAGAGAGAAACAGATTTTCCATCCACTGGTTCACTCCCCAAATGGCCACAACAACCAGGGCTGAGCCAGGAAGAAGCCAGTTGCCAGGAGCTGGGAGTTTTCTTTTTAAAGATTTATTTATTTATTTGAAAGTCAGAGTTACACAGAGAAGGAGAGGCGGAGAGAGAGAGAGAGAGAGAAAGGTCTTCCATCTGATGGTTCACTCCCCAGTTGGTCTCAATGGCCAGAGTTGCACCGATCCGAAGCCTGGAGCTAGGAACTTCCTCCAGGTCTCCCACGTGGGTGCAGGGGCCCAAGCACTTGGGCCATCTTCTACTGCTTTCCCAGGCCGCAGCAGAGAGCTGGATCAGAAGTGGAGCAGCCGGGTCTCGAACCCATATGGGATGCAGGTGCTTCAGGCCAGGGCGTTAACCTGCTGTGCCACAGCGCCGGCCCCCTATATACTTTCATTTAAGACCCAGGCAAGAAATGCAAATGTAACTTATAGTTATATAGAGAGAATTTTATATAGTTATATATATAGTTAATTATATAATACATAATACAATATATAATTATATAGTTATATATATAGAATTTTCAAATGTAACTTATAGTTAAGGCTTGCAGTTAATCTGTCTTCCTTTTCTCAGGTTTCTTATGAAGATGTGGATCGCTTAAAAGGATTGGCAGTTACTGAAAACCTGCGGGTCCCTCACTTCCTGCAGGACCACAGCCGGTATATGGAACACTTAGAGAAGATCATGGAAGTGAATGAACTGACAGACAGGGAACTGAAAGATCTTATATAGTAATTAGCATCCTTGCACACATAGCAAAACTATACCTCCATGTATATTACCAGTTAGGTGCAGTTCGCACCAGATTTATAAAAGAACGACTGTTTGGGTTTTCTAAAGAATGGCTTTCAGTATTCAGTTGAATTTTTAGATTAAGTACAAACCTTAAACTATTTCCATAAAATGTTTCTGTGGGCTCCTGGGGAAGTTAGTCCTATTTTCATCTGCATCTCAACAGAGGCAAGTAAAAATACTGCTGCTGAGTGTTTTTGCAGACTCTTGGTTGAACTGAGTGATAAACTTCTGCCTGGGCACTGAGCCCAGCTCTGGCTGAAGACAGGTTGAATTCCAAGCAGTGTCGTGCGTACTCCAAGGTTATACTTTATTTGATAAATGTTGGTAATTACTCTCCTTTGAAAAATTGGCACTCCTCAAAGCTAGCTATAGCTAACATTTCTTATTTCTCTTCTCCATTAAGTAATGTTAAAGGGAGGGAAAGAGCAATTTGAAGAGTTTTCATTAAATCTTTTATTGTTCACATTATTGTTTTTGCCTTCTCAGCTCATGTAGGAACTAAATTAGAGAATTATTTCTTTCTGTTATCATTTAACCTAACTTTTCATTTGCTGAAGCATATTATACCCCCTTTTAGTTTTTAATGAAATTTTAAGGTCTTTCCTTTTGTATCTTTTATATAAATGATAAGAATAAAAGTTCCAGGAAAGTTTGTGTACACAAATCAGAATAGTTAGGGAAGGGGAAGCTACTCGCCTTTTCCTTAAATGTAGCATGTAACAAGCAGGGGTCAAGGAGACCAGACTCCCCAGTGCAGACACTGGATGTTGATGGGTGGCACCTACAGTGGACTTGACCATGTTCTGAAAAGTACCGTTTCTGCTCATTGCCATTTGAGAAGCCAGCCTTGTGATGCTGGTGCAGTGTACTTTGTCAAAATCTGTGATTTCATCAACCCATAGCTTATACACCTAGCTTTGTAATTTATCTGTTTCGGTATATACTTGGAGATATATATTTATATACACACACATACACACATTCAGGATCAAATGGTTGTTCATGCAACTAACTTTAATGCCTAGAAATAATGCTGATATAGACACCCATTCAGGATTATTACTGTAATTCCCCCCAAAAGCTGTCTGAGAGTGTATCTTTACCCGCTTCGGGCTACACTATGGTGCTAATACTTGTGGATGTGTACTACAGAGCCTGGTCCACATCCATGCTACAAAGTAACCTTAGGAAATATTTTTCAGGTGGGGTTGTATGATGTTTTTCTTTCACATATCTACAAGGGCTTGCTTTAAGAAGAATGTCACAGCAAAAAGGTTATGCGCTAGCTGGTGTCTGTGCGTTCTTGCAAAGCCATGCATCTCGCCTGTGGCAGTAGAGGGCCAGGCCCTTTGGAGCACAGAAAGCTCCCTACGTGTGCCACGCTGCCTAGCTTGTGTGCTGCACATATTTGCCAGTTCAGGGCAGAGTGTGTCGACACAAACCAGACACCAGAAACCTACTCTTGGTACCTGAAGCATGTACCTCCTCGTTGCAGACTTTCAGCTCTGTATAATGTTTTTCGACTTGATCTTGAAACTTGTTGAGGGTGACTGGGAAAGCAATGTCTTGGAAATACAGACAGAAATGGCGGTACTCATGTCCTGGGTTTTAAGTCCCAATGCTTATAAATTCAATATTTGCAGTCAGTAACACTGCTAATCTTATGTTATGGTTTAAATGTATAGGAACATCACAGCAGCCTTAATTTCCTCTTGGTAGGACTATTTGCAGTGGTTCTAGTCCGTGGAATTTAAAATGGGCAAATATTCTATCTCTGTCTAGTTTGGAAAAGGAACCACTTTCTTGCCTTACTGCTTTGGTATAAAAATGAAAAAGAAGAGAACTCTGCAGAAAAAAATGACTTTAAATCATATTGATTGTCTTAAGGTATTTTAAAAGTTAGCAGTGAACCAAAAGTAGTTTCAGATGAGCAGAAATACTCTCAGCTTTAAATGTTTGAAGATTTAATGAATTTTATTAATTCTGTTTCCTCAAATAGCAGTAAGGTCAGTTTTGTTTCCTAAAATAAAAGTTTTAGTAAACATAAAACGATAGCAACTGTACTTAGGAGAATAAATGGAAAACAATCTTAACTTTAATTATAGTGGTTATTTGCTATAGGCTGTTCATCAGTTTTGTTCATTATAATCTAACATATAGTTGAATCAAATACAAATTCTAGTAAATTGTTAGGTTTTAACACCAGACAATGTTCAAAGTTAATGTTTGCAAACATAAATCCGTAGTCTGCATTTCTTTATAGTTGCACTTTTGTAAAAGTATTAAAAATGTATTGTTTGTTTTGTGTGTTTTTGGGCATTTAGTGTCTCGCTATAATAAAAGGAAATAGCACTGAGATTCTCAAATGAAGTATGTGGAGATATATATGCATGTAACCTTCTCTTCCTTGAACCCCTAATTATATTTTTATTGTGCTAGTTCTTGTTTTTCACCATGTGGTGATTATTGAAAAGATACTGACAGGCTTCTCTCCAAGTGTCCTTAACTTATGGAGAAATAATACGTTTTCCACACCTTACCTTTTCCCGGCTTTAGTTCAGCTTATACCTTAATGGGGCACATAAAGAAGAGTAAATAGGGCCATTGCTGTGGCGTAGAAGGTTAAGCTTCTGCCTGCAGTGCCAGCATCCCATATGGGCCCCAGTTCAAGTCCTGCCTGCTCCACTTCCAATCCAACTCTCTGCTAATATGCCTAGGAAAGCAGCGGAGGATGACCCAAGTAATTGGACCCCTCACCCATGTGGGTGACCTGGAAGGAACTCTTGGCCCCTGGTTTCCATCTGGCCCAGCCCCATCTAGCCATTGCTGCCATTTGGGGAGTGAACCAGTGGATGGAAGATCAATCTCTCTTTATCTTTCTCTCTCTATTTCTGCCTTTCAAATAAATAAATAAGTCTTAAAAAAAAAAAGAGAGGAAAAGGAGAGGGACAATTTTGACTTAAGTTTCTGCCCCGCTCATTTGGTAGACTTTAACACAGAGCCTGTTGAGGAATGGAGTCTACACTAAGTGCCAGAGAGCCCCTGATGAAGACAGGCAGTCCCGTGAGGAGGAGAGGCACAGAACGAGATGACAGCAAGGAAGTGCTGCCAGGAGAAAGGATGCTGAATTCAGCGAGGGTTACCCTTGTGTTTGAAGAGGAGAGATCATTTACCATGTGGTTTTGTTACCGCTCTTTGTAAGGCTTGTGTTTGGAGCCTGAGCTGTAGCCCAGGTAAGTACACTACACAAGCATCTGCCCAGGTCATCAAAAGCCTGGCTGTCCAAAGGGGCCAACACTTTGTCCTTAAGAAGATGAGCCTGGAGCAGGGACCAAGAGGAGAGTGCAGGGGCCCTCACCCAGCAGGGCAAGTAACCAGTCTTTGAATCCAAACATTTCTTTGCACTGTAAGTTTTGTCCGCCAGCTGTGGTTTTCATCCACTTTTGTTCACTGTTATTCCAAGAGCTAAGGAATCAGTGCCTTGAAACTGCTGCCAGGGGGTTAAATACTAGTGCTTGCCAGCCAGCTGGGGTAGAGCCTTAAAAAGAGGTGGGAGGTGGGAGTTTGGCCTCGTGGTCAAGCCACTGATTAGAGTATCTGCATCCCACATCCCAGTGCTTGCTCAGTGCTCAGCTCCAGCTCCTGATTCGACTACCTGCTAATGCAGACCCTGGGAGGCAGCCATGCTGGCTCAAGTGATTGGGTTCCTGCCACCCACATGGGAGGCCTGGATCAGGACTTCTGGCTCTGCTCTCCCTGACAATTGTAGGCATTTGTGGAGTGACTAGAATATGGGAGTTCTCCAACTATGTCATTTTCTTTTTTTTAATTTTTATTTTATTTTTTATTTATTTATTTTTTTGACAGAGTTAGACAGTGAGAGAGAGAGAGAGAGAGAAAGGTCTTCTTTTTCCATTGGTTCACCCCCCAAATGGCCACTACGGCAGGCGCGCTGCGCCGATCTGAAGCCAGGAGCCAAGTGCTTCCTCCTGGTCTCCCATTCGGGTGCAGGGCGCAAGCACTTGGTCCATCCTCCACTGCCCTCCTGGGCCACAGCAGAGAGCTGGACTGGAAGAGGGGCAACCGGGACAGAACTGGTGCCCCAACCGGGACTAGAACCTGTGGTGCCGGCACCATAGGCGGAGGATTAGCCTAGTGAGCTGCAGCGCCAGCCTGTGTCATTTTCACTCTCGCTTTTTTTCAAATTAAAATAAATTAATATGTGTTATTTCAGTGGGAGATTTGTGGAGCTCTGGAGATAATTTTTTTCTTTTAACATGGAGAATAAGGTAAATCCTGGCATCATATATTATCGGAGGTTTTTTATTTTACAGTGCTGATCCCTGGTGCGTTTTTTTTTTAAGATTTATTTATTTGAAAGGCAGAGTTACAGGGGGCTGGCACTGTGGCTCACTTGGTTAATCCTCTGCCTGCGGCACCGGCATCCCATATGGGCACCAGTTCTATTCCCAGTTGCTCCTCTTCCATTCCAGCTCTCTGCTGTGGCCTGGGAAAGCAGTAGAAGATGGCCCAAGTGCTTGGGGCCCTGCACCTGCATGGGAGACCAGGAAGAAGCATCTGGCTCCTGGCTTTGGATCAGCACAGCGCTGGCCATAGCGGCCATTTGGGGAGTGAAACAACGGAAGGAAGACCTTTCTCTCTGTTTCTCTTTCACTGTCAAATAAAAATTTAAAAAAAAAATTAAAAAGAAAGGCAGAGTTACAGAGAGGTAAAGGCAGAGAGAGAGAGAGAGAGAGAGAGAGATCTTCCATCTGCTGGTTCATTTCCAAATGGCTGCAATGGCCAGAGCTGAGCCTCTTCCCCATCTCCCATGCGGATACAGGAGGATCCAAGCACTTGGGCTATCTTCTGCTGGTTTCCCAGGCCATAGCAGAGAGCTGGACTGGAGGTGGAGCAGCTGGGACTTGAACCGGTGCCCATGTCGGATGCCGGCACTGCAGGCAGCAGCTTTACCTGCTATGCCACAGTGCCGACCCCTAGAGTTCTTTTTAAAAAGTATTTTAAATATTTATTTTCAATTATGTGAAAGGCAGAACAATAGATTTATTAAATATACATATTTCAAGAGAGAGATCTTCCACTGGTTCACTTCCCAAATGCCCACAACAGCCAGGGCTGGACCAAGATGAAGCCAAGATTCCAGAACTCAGTCTGGGTCTTCCACGTGGGTGGCAGGGTCCCACATGCTTGAATCATCATCCGCTGCCTGCAAGCATACATTATCAGGAAGCTGGATCAGAAACAGGGTAGCTGGGACTGGAACAGGCCTTCCCCCAACATGGTATGTGGGCCTCCCAAGTGGCAGATCAACCCAGTGCACCACACTGCCTGGTCCCCCGTAAAGTCTCAGTAGCAGCAGACAGTAATGACATGAACACATCCCCACTGTAGACAAAGCACGTATACAGCTCTTTTGCCATTGTTCAAATACCTCCATCATATTTAGACTGCTATCCTAATTACCAGAAAACTAAGTAGCTTAGATCCTACAGGTAAACACCCTCTTTAGGAAGACGATGGTTCTATTTTGTTGCTGGTTTGTATCAGAGGGTCTGGTTCTCTCTGTGGTGAGTTTGGAGAGCTCTAGTCAGCAGTCAGTATTACCAAGCAGAGAACATCCTGATGGCCCCCCAGTCTCCCCGGGAAGCCAACGTCCTCAGTAATGTCCGTGTGTCTCTCCGCGACTCTCCACTAGAGGGACCACTAGCTCTGCTCCTTCTCCCACTTTCCCCCTCCCCATGTTTTATCTCTGGCTGAAGCTAAACCTCCTACCTGGGGGCAGGCATGGTGGAGCTGGCATCCCAAATGGGCACCAGTTGGAGTCCCGGCTGCTCCACTTCCGATCTAGGTCTCTGCTATGGCCTGGGAAAGCAGGAGAAGATGAGCCAAGTCCTTGGGCCCTGCACCCGTGTGGGAGACCCGGAGGAAGCTCCTGGCTCCTGGTTTCGAATCAGCTCAGTTATGGCCATTGTGGTCATTTGGGGAGTGAAGTAGCGGATGGAGATTCTCTCTCTTGCTTTCTCTCCTCTCTCTGTGTCACTCTGTATTTCAAATAAATCTTTAAAATTCCTTGAAACTGTTTTGAGTTGAAAAGCAATATCCAGGGCCGGCGCCGTGGCTCACTAGGCTGATCCTCCCCTCCGCCTGCGGCACCGGCACCCTGGGTTCTAGTCCCGGTCGGGGCGCCAGATTCTGTCCCAGTTGCCCCTCTTCCAGGCCAGCTCTCTGCTGTGGCCCGGGAGTGCAGTGGAGGATGGCCCAGGTCCTTGGGTCCTGCACCCGCATGGGAGACCTGGAGGAAGCGCCTGGCTCCTGGCTTCGGATCAGCGCGGTGCAGGTGCAGCTGCGGCAGCCATTGTGTGGTGAACCAACAGAAAAGGGAGACGTTTCTCTCTGTCTCTTTCTCTCACTGTCTAACTCTGCCTGTCACAAAAAAAGAAAAGAAAAAAAGAAAAGCAATATCCATGCTCTGTGTATTTACTATTTACAGTCTAGAGAAATATTTTCAGTAGCATTCCAGTTATGCATTTGAGACAAAATATGAGAGAAGCAATTTGAAATTCAGGTCCTATTTTATCTTAATTACCTTAGACATTTCTCAAAGCAAACAATGTTTCTCTTGTAGAGAAATGGGGGAGGAGGAGATAACAGGAAAAGACACTGGATCCCGTGGCAAAACAGATTTCTCTGCTTGCTGCTTTTGCCAGACTCAAGACACCTGGTGGCAGTACAGCCTTCCTACCCTCTGGCCCTCTGGGCTGCTTTGGAATGGAACTCTGGAAAACTGCAGAGGCTTAGTCCCATCTCAGCTGGCTCAGACCTCTTGTAAACTAGGTTCCTTCCCAGGGCTGAGAGTTAGCTATGTGGTCGGATTTGTCCAGAATGGTTCTGCACACTGAGAACATGCACACATGAGGGATCTTCAGAGTTCATGGAAACATCATGTTCTGAAAAAACTGCATGAATTTCAAGCAAGTTGTTGCACCAAAATAAACTCACCATTTAATTCCATTTTCTTTAAACTTTCTGAAGTTCCTTCAAACTCTGTTGAGGATGAAAATTGAGGCCTTCGCACCAACACAGCGCCACACAAATCAGCTTTTATGCTTTGCTTTTTCTTGGCTTCCCTTAGGCCTCCAGCAAAGGCTGGTTGTGTGCTCCGGCCTGGGCCTGGCTGTGCTGAGCGGCCCGCAGGCAGCAGGAGGGAGCCTCTGGGCAGAGAGGGCTGGGAGCACCAGCCCTCCGGGCATCTCCCACACCCTCACTACTGAGCTGATCAGGTTCAATGTCTTTGAGGGGGCTCATGGTTTTACAATGAGGAAACAGACTCGCTTTGCCTGGCTGCTGGGCGAGGTCTTCCCAGGCTGGTGCTCAAACCCCTCCTGGCCACAGCTTTAGAGAGGACTTCCCAAGAGAACACAGAATACAGGGTATCCTGCTCCCACCTGGCTAACAGGCTCCATGGCCTGGCCCACGTGGCTGCAGGAGCTCCGAGTTGGAGCCGTGCGTAGCCCAGCACCAGGACCCTGGAAGGCAGGGGCCTTCCTGCTCCCTGTTCCCCCCGACTCCACCCCCGGGGCCAGCCTAGTGGCTGCATAACTGTGATTAACGGACAGAACCAAAGTCAAGGCTTTTCAATAGCCTACCCTTCTCTCTGGGACTTTTAATTTCCCCTCAAAATACATATTTTAATTTCTTCACTCTAGAAGGAAGCACTTGATTATTTTGATGACTTTTCCTAGCAAAATTCCACTCCAGGGAGCGGCATGATGGAAAAGAATTACAGCGGCTAATCCTTCCCACGTCTCCCCTGCTGCTGTGAGAACCTCAGCACGCTGGGTCCGTGAGGAAATGTAGTATTTATTTGTTCTGTTAAAAAATAGAAATGTCCCATTGTCTTTTGTGTGTGCTTTGGGCCTTTGATTCTCTGTGCATCTAATGGACCATTTCAAACACACACATAAAAGCAGGAGCATGGAATGGGTCCCTCTGTTCCCATGAGCAGGCTTTAAAACTATGCACATTTTGCAAATGTGGATTCTAAGTGCTACTCAGTCCTCTGTGTTTATCCTGTAGAGGAAGAGGGCAGATGTGGGCCATCCAGTTGTTCAGTAGCCTTCAAGTTTCTAGACAGCCTGTGCTCTTAAGCCACCTTGTGCCTTCTGGGCGAAAGGAACAGCAGGGCAAGGCTGGAGAAGCCAGACCCGGAGCTGGGAAGAGCCCAGCAGGCCCAGGGCGCCCGGAAGAGGCAGGAAGCCCAGCTGTTTCCACGGAGGAATGTTCTGCTGGGGAGAGGCTAGGGCATGGCTTAGTCTGAGTGGAACTAAACCTTTCGAAAGCTGAATGTGCCCCCTCAGCATGGGAAGCAGCTTGCAGAAGGCGCTGTTCATCAAGGAAGAAAGCGTCTTGTCCCAGGCTGACCCCCAAACTCTACATGGGGGTGCTCCGCAGCTCCCAGCCAGCTCCAGCAAGAGACGGAGAAATCACCCTGCAACCCCAGTGTCGGCTCCAGCCAGGCCACGTTTGAAGTCCGCGGGGAAATTAGGCACACGAGGCAATTCAAAGATGGCGCCCAAAGGAAGTAAGGTGGGCGGTATCCAAAGTCGTTTACCACCAAAGCTGATTGGCTGCACAGCATCAGGGGAGGTGACAACAACTGATGACGAGTGTACAGACATATGGCTGGTCCTGTAAAAAGTCGCCCCGTAAAATGACCAAAAAAGTAACTGGTTGGTCCTTACGCCCTGCCCCAGTAATCCTGTGGTCTTGTGCTTTAAAAGGCTTTGCTACGCATGCAATAAATGAGTTCTTGCTTACTTGACTTGACTCCCCGCTGTGTCTGACTGTCTCCGTGATCAGGGGCTGGGGAACGGGCAAGCAGCGCACTTACCTTTCTTCAGACCCAGTCCATCCTCGTTCGGGTGGACTAAGACCCTGCAAAGTCATGGCTGGAGGCCATTTTGCACTGGGTTGGTCTGTATTTTTTTGCATTTCAAACTAAAATTCCCCAGAGGCCCTCTTGACTGAAGAGAAGTTGAAGTCGAGCCCAAGAGGCACTGATCTGGAATGCAGCCTGGCAGGTGGATGGGCAGTGGGCCCTCTGGAATCAAGTGGTGCTCAGGCAGTGTGGACGTGGAGGTCTCCAGTGCACACACGTGTCTGTGTTTATGACCTCTCGACTCTGCCTGGCCAGCTCCCCGTCCATCCGTTCCACCTGGCAGTGCCACGCGTGTTCCTCATTCAGAGAAGCAGCGGTGGGTCTCACGGAGCCATCGCTTTTACGTTATTGCCAAGCAACAAGTTGACACGTGAGCGTGCGTTGCAGAATCAGAAGCACCCAAGTTTGGATCCCACCTATTTACTTACTGGCTGGGTGATCCTGAAGAGGTTAAGCTCTAAGCCTCAGTTTCTTCAGTTGTGCAATGGGCTAATTATGATCCTGGTCTCTTTGGGACGGTAGGATAAGGTGTCTAAGGGAGAATCCAGCCTGGCTCAGGCCCAGTGCCAGTTACCAAACACTTGCTTCCTTCTCGCAACCTCCGTCCAGCCCCCCAAACACCCCTTCACCAGCCACAAGGAAGGACCTTGAGACTGTAGGGTCCAGCTTCCTATGAGCCATAAACCAGCAACCGGTGGCAATCCGTCTCCATGGGCGACGTGGGTCCAGGACCCCCAAAGATATTAAAACCCACAGATGCTCACAGCAGATCTGCCTAGAACCTACACACACTCTCCTGTACGCGTTGTCATTTCCAGCTTACTTATAATCCCTGCGACAACGTGAACAGCAGCTACACTGCACTGTGTAATGCCAAGGGAGAATCGTCTACGCATGCTCAGCAAGGGCACAGTTTATTTTTGTTTCTGATCTGTGGCTGAATTCGTAGATGCACACTCCTTGGATCCGGGCTGAGGCGTTGCTCAGACTCAGCAAAGGGAGCGCTGGGCCAGGAATCCGTGATGGGTTAGGAAGGAGGAAACCACAGCCTTGCCAGGGATTCTCATCCTACACTAAGTTTTTGGAAACGCAAAGCAAAAGAAAGCGCACGGGAGCCGGCGTTGCAGGACGGGCTGGGAGCCAGCAGAGGGCGGGCAGGTGGAGGCGGGTCGCCGGCACCTCTGCAGGGACAAAGGGCAAGGATTCAAAGGAGCCGGGCTGGGGGAGGTGTCCAGGGCCCCATCCCAAACACAACCTCACAGACAGGCAACTGCAAACACACACAGCGTGGGGACCATCCCACAGCCTCGCTGCAGCCAGGCAGGTTAACGTCTGTTTATTTTTGCAAAACCAACACTAAAAATCACCATTCAACATATTTGAGAAGAGTGCTCAATCACATTTAAAAGCGTTCCGTCGTTGGCAGCAAGCAAGGGCATCCTGTGGGTCAGAGATGGGAGCTCCGGGCACCCCGGGCCGGGGCCTGCAGCCTCCACAAGGCGCTCTCTCCCTCCCAGGCTCCAAGACTGCTCCGTGCTGCTGCTCCTAGCGCAGACACAGCCAGGTTCTGCAGGTTCCTCGCAGGGCTTGTGCGCGCACCCCCCAACACACACACACACACACACACACACACACACACACACACACACACACACACACGGGGGTCCTCAAGGCCCACAGAGAAGGCCGTGGCTTGAGGCCCAAGTGCCGATGATGAACTCAACGTAGATTAAAAGGGGGCGCCAGCCCTGAGTCTTCACCCGTGCCGCCCGGGGGCCGCGAGCGCGCACGTCGTGCAGCGTCATCACCGCTCGTGCTTGCTGTGGGCTTCGCTCCGCTCCAAGGCGACCCCGTTGCCATTGCGAGGGCCTTCCTTCTTGTTCCAGTCCTTCTCCGCGTAAAACTCGGCGAGCACAGGGCAATGTTCGGAGGCCACGCCGCCCCACGACCAGTTGTCGGGAATCCAGGGGTTCGTGAGACCCTCTCTCACCACGGCCCAGTGACCTGAGGGAGAGGGAAGAGATGGCGGTCAGCACAGGAAAGGCAAGGGGTCACGGGCAGCAGGTGCACCGCCTGCCCTGCGCCCTCCTCAGTCAGCTGGCTGGAGTGCAAACCAAGGACCTGGACCAATGTGGTTTGCCACATGTATGAGAGTTGATCCACTTAGGCACTGGAAGTGCCCGGAGGCTCCGCGGTTCAGAAGCCCACGGCTGACCTCATTCAAGCACCCCTAAGTAACTTGATGAGCAAGAGTTAAGTGTTTGCCAGACGTCCAAAGAGAAGATCCTAACTTGCAAAGTGAAAGACACCAAGGGGGAGGGAAATAAATTCTTTTTCTGGAAAAGACGACACAGATAACATTATAGAAGTTTATGAGAAAGGAAAGGTATTATAAAGGTAAGTGTTTGGCCTGCAGGCAGCAGGAGGTGTATGTGGCCACACCCTGGTAACAAATGGCTCCAAGAACGCTGGGAAGCACTGCTGTGGTCCCCGGTGCAGTTCCTGTGGAGGCGGGGCTCTGGCCTGGCAAGATGGCAGTTCTGTGACTGAACAGGAAGCAGGTAGAAGGAGTGCCTGTAGGCTTCGCCGCAGCCCTGTCCTTCAGCTTCCCCAGCTCTCTCTCTGAGGGCAGGTGCCTCCCACTGGCCCCTGCAGGCTGCAGGCCAGCCCCTACTCCTGGCCAGTGCAGGTCACTGCTAACCACGCCTCACTTGGTTGACGCTGGTCACTCCCCGATACCCACTGCCTTTGTCCTCTGCCTTTGTCCCCTGGCTGTGACATCGTCAGGTCTAGAAATGCGAGTCCTGAGGCCCGAGGCCCTGGCTTAGGCTCTCTCGGTGCGACCCAGGCTTCAGGTCTTGGCTTAACCTTGAGGTCTCCCTGAAGTATAACGGCTTCAGCCAGCCTTGCTAAAGCTTTCAGCCAGGGTTGAGAACTCCTGTCCTGTGCCTTCCACATGCCGGCCTGATTGCCCCCGGCTCAGCAGGGGAGAGGGGCTGCTTTTCAGGGCAGAGATGACCCAGGGGCACGGAGACCTCCCCCCATCCCTTCACACCCATGGCGTGCCGGCTCAGCCCTGGCAGTGTCAGCACGCCTCACTCCACAACGCTGCACCTGACCCTCTGTCAAATGCCTGGCACGTGACCAAGCAGCCTCAAGTTAGGGTAAGAGATTGGCTCATCTCTGAGTCAGGCCACTGCTACTCCACAGCCATGACCCATGACCCGTGACCTGTGACCCATGACCCATGACCCGTGACCAGGCTTGCTGGGACACGCCTGGCTCATCCCTTGTTCATCAGCTTATCTGGTAAGCTGAGCCTCTCACGGCCCTGCAGGAGGGGAGAAGACCCCTGCCAGGTAGACACGCTCCTCTGACCCCAGTGTGGAGCAGGAGGAAGATGTGCGGGTCCTGCCTTACCCGTGAACACCTTCTTCAAGCTTTTGCTGATCCAGATGTTGTCCAGAGACCTCGAGCCCTGCGGATTCTTGGTGCTGATGTTGGTGAAGGTGTGTGCAGGGACCAGGGGGTGGAACTTCTCTCTCCGCAGCACGTCGCAGTCACTGCTCTCTGGCCCTTGGCCGAAATCCCCTAAAATGATCACATCTTTCTCTCCTGGAAGAAGATGGCCGGTGTTGAAGGGTTGGTGGGAGGTAAAACCCAGCACTGCCCACAGCCCACTGCTCCGAGTCAGGATTGCTGCATGGGTCTCATCCTCCCCTAAATGTTTGGGGGGGAGGGTTACTAATGAAATGGGGGATGGTGTTGGACAGAGAGCAGCTTGTTCCAGCTCATGGGATGTGAATACCACAGCAGTGCAAGGCCTACGGGTCTTGCCCCGAGAGTCAACCAAAGCTCAACAAACATCTGCTGAGCAGCTCTGTGGGCCCACCTGTGAACGAAACACAACCCTGCTCTGGGGGAACTCAGAATCCTGGGGGAGCAGCGGCCTAGCAAACAGACACAAATACGAGTACGGAAAACAGAGCGGTGAACGGAGAGACCGATGTAGCACAGGGAAGTGGCCAGGGAAGGCTTCCTGGGGGAGGCAGCGCCTGACTTGAGTGTTAGAGGATTGCCCAGGAGTGCCCGGCTCAGGGATGAGGGGACACTTGAGTGAGAGCAGGGAGCTACAGAACAGGTGCTTTCCTAACGCAGCTGGGTGCTTCTGTAGAATAAGATACCAAGTAGGCAGAGGCTGGCCAGGTCAGCAGCAGCTACTCTAGTGCCTTTCCTAGCTGCTTCCCAGGCCAGGGAGAAACGCTGAGTCCTGGCATTCACTGCGCAGCACACAGAATCCTGCTACCCGGATAGACCTTGGGCCCCATTCTCCTGCTGTCGGTCATTTCAAAGGTTGCTCCCAGTATCCACTACTGAAGGGAGGATCTCATTCCGATACTGTGTCCCTGCTCTCTGTCTTCAGAGTCCCAGTTAGAAAGGACGGTGCATTGTGGTGCAGTGGGGTAAGCGGCCGCGTGGGACACCACCATCCCATATCAGAGTTCCAGTTTGAGTCCCGGCTGCTCCGCTTCCAATCCAGTTCCCTGGGAAGGCAGCAGAAGATGGCTCAAGTACTTGGGCCCCTGCCACCCACATGGGAGCCCCAGATGGAGTTCCTGGCTCCTGGCTTCAGCCTGGCACAGGCTTGGCTGTTGCAGCAATTTGGAGATTGAACCAACAGATGGAAGATCGCTCTCTCCTTCTACCTCTCCCCCACTCCCTCTTCTCCTTCTCCATCACTTTGCCTTTCAAATAAGTAAAATAAATCTTTAAAAAAGAAAAAAGAAAAGAAGGGATGGCTACTGGTCAGATTCTGGATAAATATGGCCAACCCACTCTCCATTTCCAAAGGGTTCTCAGACTTCCACCAGCAATAGAAGGAAGTTCCTCTTATTGCATTTCTCACCAACATTGAGTGAAGAAATTAATATGGCGCATGTGAAAAAAAAAAAAGAAATTAATATGGCGTGAAATTGGTGTCCTGGGGCCAGCGCTATGGCACAGCAGGTTAAATCAGTGCCTGCACTGCTGGCATCCCATATGAGCACCAGTTCAGGTCCCAGCTGCTCTACTTATGATTCAGCTCCCTGCTAATGGGCTGGAAAAAGCAGCAGAGGATGGCCCAAGTGCTTAGGTCGCTGCCACCCTCATGGGAAACCTAGAAGAAGCTCCTGGCTTCAGTCTGGCCCAAACCCGGCTGATGCAGCCATCTGGGGCATGAACCAGTGGATGGAAGATCTCTTTCTCTGTCTAACTCTTTCAAATAAATAAATAAATCTTTAAAAATATGGAAAAAGCCTCACTTAAGAAAAAAGTGGTGTTTTGTACTTGCAGAAAAATAACATATGCTCCCCTTCCTGTAGACTGGAGTGTCTACATAAATTATTTGGAGTTCTGTTACATAACAGACTTGTCTTTTCTTCACCAATTTATTGTTATACTCAATCATTTATTTTATATCAGTATGGAGTCATGGATACTTAATTTTATATTTCAAGCTATAATCCAATGCTATCTTATTTGTTCAAATTTTTCCAGTTTTGGTAACCAAGAGTTCTTTCAGTCAGTTTCTGTGTGCTTTTTTAAAGAAACGTTTCATTTATTTGAGAGAGAGTGAGAGAGCAAGTTAGCTAGCTATCTCAAATGCCCAGCAAAACAGGTTGGGCTAGGCCAAGATTCAGGATCTCAAGCCAGGTCTCCCTCATGGGCGGGAGGAACACGAGGACTTGAGTCATCACTGCTGCATCCGAGGGTCTGTGCTGGCGAGAAGCTAGAATTGGGAGCGGAGGTGGGACTTGAACTCAGGCACCCCGATATGTGACGCGGGGGGCCCAACCGGACTTTGGCCGCTGTGCCAGACGCCCGCCGCCCTGCGTGCTTCTGACATACACCTGCACGCTTGGTGTGGGAACACTTCCTTTCTCTCTGGGCCCACAGGATGCTCCAGGGTCATCCTGGAGATTTCCTGTCCCCATCCCAGAGCTGGCCACTTCCCTGAAGAGTCCTGGTTCCTGTCACCTGAGCAGAGTTAGAGTGAAGATGTGGGGCCAGGGTACCTGCTGTGCCCACTCTTTGTACAGGGCACTGATGCTATACTTACTGTCTTGCGTGAACTCTTCATAATTAAGAAGAGTAACGCTTTATCATATACAAGAATTGTTTTTTATAGTTTGTCATCGGTCCTTTTCACTTGGTAAATGACCACATTGAAGCATACAGAAGTTTAGAAAAAAATTTTATGTAGTACAATCTAATAAAATTTCCCTGGATTATCTCATTTATACACCATGTTTAATACATTGTATTTAAAAGGCAAAGAGAGAAAGGAACAGGGGGAGGGGTACCTTTTATCCATTGGTTCACTCCCCAAATGCCGGCAACAGCCAGGGCTGGGCCAGGACAAAGCCAAGATCTCAGAACTCAACCTGGGTCTCTCATGTGGTGGTGGGGGTGGAAGAGACCCAGAACTTAAGCCATCGCCAGCTACCTCCCAGAACATGCATTCGCAGAGAGCTGCATCAGAAGCAGAGGAGCCAGGAATTGAATACAGGCACACTGGCACGGAACAGAAGCATCCGAGAGGTGACTTAACTACACGCCAAGCGCCCACTCACTAAGCTATTTTTATGGTTTAATTTCTCCCATTTTCCATCTGCCTGGAATTTACTTTTATTTTTCCCACAAACAATTAACCACTTTTGCCAACACTATTTCCTCATGCCTCCCTTCTTCCTGAACTGAATGGGGATACCAACCTGTCATTAAAAAACTCCTACATGTATCTCTGAGCCTTTATCCTACAGAGCTATTCTTTTTTTTTTTTTTTTTTTTTTTTTTTTGACAGGTAGAGTTACAGACAGTGAGAGAGAAGAGACAGAGAGAAAGGTCTTCCTTCCATTGGTTCACTCCCTAAATGGCCACCACAGCCGGCGCTACGCTGATCCGAAGCCAGGAGCCAGGTGCTTCCTCCTGGTCTCCCATGCGGGTGCAGGGCCCAAGCACTTGGGCCATCCTCCTCTGCCCTCCCAGACCACAGTGGAGAGCTGGACTGGAAGAGGAGCAACCGGGACTAGAACCCGGCGCCCATATGGCGGCGCTGCAGGTGCCCAAGTGAGGCACGGTGCCGGCCCCCAGATCTATTCTTGAGCTAGTACTATAACATGCTTTCACATTTTCTCATTGCAAATGTTTATCTATTTTCCTGATATTGAAATCTTAATTGTGAATTTTTAAAGTTAATTTTAAAATTAAACTTTGGTTTTTCAATGAAATCTGCCCGTGTAAAAATTAAACCAGCACTAATTTTATTTAATGTTCCCATCCCTGGCTGGCCACAGGAAGCCATTCCCTGTGCCTCCTTCTAGATCCCTACGCATACATGAGTACACATGGCCATTTATTTCCACACAAGTGGCAGCAGCTGACCATGCAGGTCCCACACATGGGTAACTGGCAATGACCCAATCACCTGAGCCATCATCACCTGTGGGCTCCCAAGGTGCACGTTAGCAGGCAGGTGGAGTCAGGAGCAGAGCCAGGGACTTTTATGTGAGACGCCGGCATCATCACCAGGCATCTTATCCAGTGTCTGAACTGCTGGGCTCAACACTTGCTCCCACTTTTTCTTTTTTAAATGAGAGACTCCTTTTCTAAAAGGAACCCCTGTAGGAGGCCCCCAAAGCAGAGCTACTCTGACTGAACTGTGTGTGGGGCACACTCTGCCCGCACTCGGGGCACTGGGCACTCCAAAAATTACTGACACTTGAGGCTCCCTCCCAGGGACTGGAGAGATCCTGAGGGAGAGCCTCTGGGGGCCTGGCCCTCAGCACCTCCCAACGCTCTCAGGGGCTCCGCGCTAGGAACAGAGCAGGGAGTGCGGCTCCTGACCTGCCCCCTGCCCCACAGCCACACGCTGCGCATCTCTGTTCATCCATGTCTTGTTTCTTTATCTGTTCTCCAGTAAAGCTTTATAATTTTGTCATTTTACCACCATATTTCTAAATATTTTATTTTAAAAGAATTTTTATTATTAATAGGATCTTTGTTTTCTCCCATTGTGTTTTACAGCTGGCTGTTGTTGCCATATATCAAAAGGGACCAATTTCTGCATTTTTATTTTGTAACTAGCTAGCTGTCTTCATTCTCTTACTGGGTTTTGTTTTTTACTTCAAAGGTAACAAATTGCAATCGTATTCCCTAAAAGCAGTGACACTTCTGTCTCTCTACGCCCAGTTCATCATCTCACATCATCAATCTAAACTAACCAGGAATGAAAATGAGCACAGAGAGTCCCTGAAAATGAGGAGCACCCTGCAGAGCAGCCCATTCAAAAACAGGAGCTCTTGGCCCTGACCCTAAAAAAACACAGCTGGTTGGTTTTAATGCTTTGCCACTTTCTGCCTCAGTGACCTTGGGCGAGCCTTCGGTCCACAAAAGCCGGCAAACAACCCATATCCTCCGGGGTGAGGGCCAGCAGAGCCCTGGTGAGCAGCACAGGTCCCTGCCCTTCAAGTTTCCTGAGCCACATTAGCAAGCCTCAGCCAGAGGCCCCCACAGCATAAGTGAATTACTGGGGCCGCGCTGTGGTGTAGCGGGTAAAGGCGCCGCCTGCAGTGCCAGCATCCCTAATGGGCAACGGTTCGAGTCCTGGCTGCTCCATTTCTGATCCAGCTCTCTGCTGTGGCCTGGGAAAGCAGTAGAAGATGGCCCAAGTCCTTGGGCACCTGCACCCACATGGGAGACCTGGAAGAAGCTGGCTCCTGGCTTCGGATCCGTGCAGCTCTAGCTGTTGCAGCCAATTGGGGAGTGAACCAATGGATGAAAGACTTTCTCTCTCTCTTTCTCTGCCTCTCCTTCTCTCTCTATGTAACTCTGACTTTCAAATAAATAAATAAATCTTGAAAAAAAAAACCTCTATTGCCCACATTTTCAATATTCTGGTGGAGATATGGGAGTACTTCAAAAACTCCATGGAAAGCTGAAATAAAAGATGTTCATTTTTTTTTAATTGAATTATTTGTGTGGAAGGAAGGACTACAGTGACTTCAGTGCCAGAGCAGAATGGTTTTTCCTTTAAAGAATTTTAAACATTTCTCCCACAGTCTGATTGACCCTACAGGAAATGGGGCAGTGATGAAGTCAGCATTTTCCAAGCAAAGCGAGAAGAAATTCTACAAGAACAATGGAGGCACACACTCCCCACTAGGCTCTGGATTCCTGCAGACTGACCCCTCGTCTCAGGATCCCTTTCGGGGAAGACAGAGTCCACAGGGAGTAGCATTCTGAGACACCTTACAAGGGAGGTTTAAGGAAAGCAGGTCACAAACGAGATCAGAAAGGCGTCCAAGCTCAAGTCTTTCCCTGTGCTTCTGTAATACCAGCTAGGAGGGGAGAGCTGGAAGGGGAAGACCCACAGCCACCAGCAGGGGGCACCCGTCCACTGCAGATAGTGCAAGGCCGGAGGGGCTGCCACAGAGGCTCTCCTGCAGCTCTCCAGTGCCCCCACGCACATCACAACAACGCGGGAGCTGTCTGGAGACACCAGGAGACTCACAGCAGAAAAGCCGACTTGGGAAGAGCTCAGACCTGGCTGGCATTCGTGACCACTCAGCGAGCCCTCACTGAGTGTCGGGCTCTCTGAGTAATTCCTTGACAGCTGTGCTTTAACTGTCACAACCCCATGGGGCGGGTGCGTTGCCATCTCCTCTGCAGGTGGGAAGCTGAGGCCCTGAGAGCCAGCCCTGGAGTCCACGCCCCCACAAAGAGCAGGGATGCTGCGTGTGGGAACACAGGAGAGCTGGGACGTGCAAGCAGTGTGTGCTGAGCGGCAATGAGGCACAGCTCGATTTTGCAAGGAACAGGAGATGATACATTCAGTGCACATCAAGGGAAACTGCAGGTTAAGAAAGACCGAGGCGGGAGGAGGCACGGAAGTTTTAATCGGGATGCAAAGCTGACAAAGGCAGGACTCAAAAACAGAATTCTGAAGCCAAGAGAAATGCTGGTGTCAGGGCTAAGCCCAGGTGTGTGCAGCCGCAGCAACAAAATGCTGGCTCTCTTTGGCGTGGGCACAGTCAGGTTTCTCACAACACACATTCTTTCAGGGAAGCTGCCTTGGTGATGACATCAAGGCCATTCTCCGCCCGGGGGAGTCAGGGCTGCACAAAAGCCAGATTCTTGCAGAAAGTGCGGCCACCAGTGGTGGGCCCCCAAGGCTCCTGCTTCGTTTCCAGAAACGGGCTGGGGTGGGGGTGGGGGGAGAATGTTCTGGGCTGGTGCCCTCAGCAAATCGCCAGAAGTATAAAATGCCAGTGGTAACGGTGGGAGTGAGTTCCCCTGTGGTACCATCCCACCGGACGTTGCCCATCACTGTGCATCGTGCTGAGTCACGGGTGCGAAAGAAGAGCATTCGATTGGGGACCAGCACCTGGCTGCTGCTGTCCACCTGGGTGCACATTCCCGACGGGCAGAAAGGCCCAGGGTTTTCGAATCAAATCAATCGTGTTTGCAGTGCCAGGAGCCTGTGGCGTGAAAGCTTTGTCTTTGAGCTGAACTCTGCTTCTAATCTATTTACCCTTGTGGCACCTGGGTGGGCTGGGGCACTTCCTGAACCCCTGGGTCTGCAGTGTCACCAGTTAACAATTAATGGGCTGTGACTAGCAGGGGGACACAGAGAGCATGAGTCACTGCTGTCCCTGGCTGGACACAGCCTACAGGTCGATAGTCCCAGGGCAACTTGGAGCAAGTACCTGGCCAAGGTTTTCTGAGGAAAACCTGACCACTCCCTGAATATCAGGGAAGAAAAACAAACAAACACAAAACCCCACAAGGGAGACTGCCTCGGGCCGTCCGCGGGGTTAGGAGCTGGCGTCTTCCCTATTTGCTTTTAGGTAAAGAGAAGCCGGAGTTGGAGACGGGGAACAGCAGCAATGACCACCCATGGGCTTTTTAACGGGTGGGGGCAAACCGCAGGTGCACACGTCGCACACGTCCCACACGGCTGCTTCCTGGTCGGAGGAGGCAGCTTCGCCAGCCCTCCTGCCTTCTGGCCTGAGGATTCATGGTGTAGGTGGAACGCTGGACACAGGTGTTCCAGCATGTGCAGCCTGCACAGCCCCACACACCAGGCACCGCCCACAGCGGCCCAGCGAGGGGAGCAGCCCAGGAGCCCCCAACAGGAGAGTGCACGAACCCGATGTGGCCCCTATGGATGGGGAAGACCTCTCAGCCTCAGCAAAGGGACTTCTGGCACAAGTGACATGGAGGGATCTTAAGGACTCTGGGCTGGACCAGGCCGAAGCCAGGAGCCAGCAACTTCATTGGGGTTTCCCAGGCAGATGGCAGGGACCAGAGTCCTTGAGCACCTGCTGCCTCCCAGGCTGCACATTAGCAGGAAGCGGGATTGGAAGGGGAGCAGCTGAACCTCGAATCAGTCACTCCACTATGGGATTACGGTGCTCCAAGCAGTGAGGCAAGCCGCTGGGTCAAATGCCTGTCCCTTTCCTGGTGGCTTAGGGTCAACTCAGGTTCCCTCAGTGCCCCTCTGCGCTTGGCACTCCCCTCGGGCCACTCCTATGAGCTGAGAGCTGCCAGGTCCCCCTGTTGGTGAGGATTTGAATGCTCTGGTGACTGTCTGAGGTCCTCCAGCGACAGAAGGAGTGGAGATTCAGGTGGGCGCCCCACCAGGGAGAAGAGGTCAATTTGCCATTCATCCAGAACACACCACATCCCCTGGTCACCTCTTCTCTCTTTCACAAGAAGAGCACTGCAAATCTGTGGGTGGTTCCCCAGAGGCAGCTGGGTGAGGCCGAGAAGTCACACATGTTTTCCCCCATAATTCTCTCCATCCAAGAGAGGCTAAGAAGCCACAGAGCTGACACCTGGGAACCCCCATGCTAAGTCCACAGAGACAAAGCAGTGACCAAGCAGACTCCAGATGGGCTCCCCACACTGCAGGGGGTGTGACCACCCCTGTACCCGCGACCCACACTGAGGACAGATGGGTGGCCTCGGTGGTCAAAAAGGCCGTGGAGGAGGCACCTGCTGCCTGCCCTGCCCCAGCATGGCCCAGCCACAGCCACAGCCAATTTCCTACCTTTCAGGGTTTCCTGAAGGCTCTGTACGAAGCTCGCCAACCGGTGGCCGTCACTGGGGTTCTTGCTCGGATTCTCGACTGCTGGGAGGGTCAGGGCTGCCAGGTGAAGGTTAACGAGGGTCAAGTCATTACTTCCCACCTGGGCAGCAGGAAACAAAGCAACACTCAGGTGCTCATATTTCCTGCCTCTGTCATAACCGACTCGTAATCAGCTTCACGCTCACGGTCGACCCTGGCCAACAGCAGGGAGGCCGGCTCACACGCCCAAGGTGTTCACCTTGGACTTCCCCAAGGCTCCTAAAGGAAGAGACCTATTTTGCTTTACCAACTCCCGGCCCCTGACATCCCAGCTCATATTTCTCCTTAAGACCTAAAATCTGGACATATCTGGAAGTGTCCAGTGTTGGCTTTGTTTTTTCCTTCTAAGTATGAAGGTGGCTCCAGCAGCTGGTTGCTCTGGGGGCTCTCTTCAGTAGGGCCAGCCTGAGGGCACCCTGCCAGGACTCCCTGCTGGGATCTGCCCTTTCTCCCACTCCACACACGTCCTCCCCACTCCCCTAAGGGTTCTTGTCCATCTGGAGCCCACTATGCCCCAGTGTTCACTTTAACCTGATTTCAAATGTGTCAAAACCTGAAGCTGGCAAGACCAGGCAGTCAACAGCATGACCCAGCCCTGCATTCCCAGCGGGAGGTCTCGTGTTGTACAGACTTTGGCCTGCGGCTCGGCTGTTCAGGGTTGGGCAATCCTGCCCTCCCACTGTCACAGCAGCCCCCTCGACACTGCCAGAAAGGAAAGAGGTGCCAGGGCAGCCCTAGGACGTGGAGGGCCCCAGTCTGGTTGCACAGATGTGGCCTCGTTTGCCACCACCACTGTCACCACCACTGGGACCGAGAGCTCTGCTGTGTGGCTCTGCTCGCTGCCCAAACCACTGTAGGTGGAGCGGGAAGTCCGCCCCGGTACCCTATCTGCCACTTGCCACCTTGGAACGTGACCCAAAACACAAGAGGCTGAGTGACCATCTAGGGAACCACCGCAGAAGATCCAGGCCAATCATTCATGATCCAGTAGCATCTATCAGTGGCCCACTAAAAACATCGGCATCAGCTGGTCCTGGCTGTTGTCCTGCTCGGCCGAAGCCAGAACAGCCACTTAACATAGAAAAAAGGACCTGTGTGGCATTAGGAGGTTTTACAGATGATACCTGGTTGACTTATTCACCAGTCCAGCAGGTACCCCAGGTGTATGTGTGGGGACAGAACCCCATCCATGTTGCACGCAGGAGCAGGCAAGGTGCTCCTGGGTACAGCTGACACCCCAGTGTGTGAGTGCACACCTGCTGCACCAGCACGGGGCTAAACCAGGCTGGGCACGAGGCGACAGGCTCTGGAGCAAACAGAAAGGAGAGGCCTCCGATGCCCGGCAGGCCACGAGCGGGCTAGGCTCAGGCAAGGGAGCGCTCTTGCCTAACCTGGGATTTCACAGCCAAGTACCACGGGGATAAGCTTCACCGAACGCCCCTGGGTGGCTGGTGTGGACTCCTGCAGCCCAGCTTCTGAGCATTCTGCTCAGGGAAACTTCCCAAAGACGTCCAGGGAAGTGAGGGAGACAGCACTCGGCTCTGTCAGTCCAGCCGCTGCTGGACACTGGCCCAACAAGGCTCCCCCGAAAGTGAGGGTTCCCCTGGAGAAGCCAGTTATAGGGGTGCTCCTAGGCCCAAGTCCTGAGCTCCTTAGAAGGCCCTCCCAACTCAGACATCCCCTGGAGAGCCCCCCTGGTAATAGACAGGGATGAGAAGCAGCCAAGGAGCCCTCTACTGCAGCCATTGACAAATGCCAGACCTCCTCCACCAGGGCCAGGAGGTCTGGGACATCGCTCCAAAAATACTCAGTCGTGGGCCCTGTCCCAGTAATTCTGTCTGTCTGGGCTAGGCTCTAGGAATCTCTGATTTTAGGAAAATCTCCCCACGTGGTTCTGATGTCAGGTTTGGGAGCCGGCCAGGGAGCTGCTTTCCTCCCTTCCCATCTGGCTGTCGGAGCTGTGGAAGCAGAGAGTCTCTCGGGATCGCTGTCACCCCTGCCCTGGACACGTGCACCTGCCACGGAAGTCCCGGACCAGGCGCTGGCCCAACCCTAGGAGAATAAAATCAAGGCAAGACGAGGCTTCCCGCGTGCCCAGTTCTGCAAAGAGAGATCCCCCACGCCACCCCATGGCTTGAAGGTCACAGACAACACGGAGCAGGTACCTTGAATCGTGCCACGTACGGGTTGGGGCCTGCGGACTTCCCGTGCCCATTGCTAGGCGAACTCTCCTGCGAGGTGACGTCTTTCAGCTCCACACCGGCCACTGTGTCCCACAGGAATCCTGAGTACCCGGACCCCTGCAGCAGAGAGGGACATGGTCTTGGTGCCAAGTGCAGCCCAGCACTGGGGAAAGAGGCCAGAGGCGCAAGGAGCATCAGGCTCTGCCCTGGGTCCCCAAGGACACTCACCCAGGAGCCATTCTTAGACAAACTGCACTCTCTGCCTTGGCCCCATCCCCCACACCACAAACCAGGGCTGCTTGGGTGTTCCTTGTGGGAGGCAGGTGGTGGGGGGAGCCCAGACCAGCACAGGGCTGTGGTCCAAACCATCACCTCCCAGGAAGTAGCAGCTCACACCTCTGAACTCTGAACCACACCCCTCTCCCCCCACCCAGAGGCCAATGGCAACGCTGAGAATCGGAAACAAGACTCTGTCAGATGGGTTTTGCCTACTGATCCATATTTGCTAGATGAATGAGAGTCAGAGATAAGAGTTGTTTTTGTTTTTTGTTTTTTGTTTTTTTTTTTTTTTTTGACAGGCAGAGAGGACAGTGAGAGAGAGAGACAGAGAGAAAGGTCTTCCTTTTGCCGTTGATTCACCCTCCAATGGCCGCCACGGCCCGCACACTGTCTTGTTTATGTGATCCCTTTGACTCTTAGTCCTATCATTATGATCAATTGTGAACAGAAATTGATCACTTGGTCTAGTGAGATGGCATTGGTACATGCCACCTTGATGGGATTGAATTGGAATCCCCTGGTATGTTTCTTTTTTTCTTTCTTTCTTTTTTTTTTTTTTTTTTGACAGGCAGAGTGGACAGTGAGAGAGAGAGACAGAGAGAAAGCTCTTCCTTTTGCCATTGGTTCACCCTCCAATGGCCACCGTGGCTGGCGTGCTGCGGCCAGTGCACCACGCTGATCCGAAGGCTGGAGCCAGGTGCCTCTCCTGGTCTCCCATGGGGTGCAGGGCCCAAGCACTTGGGCCATCCTCCACTGCACTCCCGGGCCACAGCAGAGAGCTGGCCTGGAAGAGGGGCAACCGGGACAGAATCGGCGCCTCGACCGGGACTAGAACCCTGTGTGCCGGCGCCGCAAGGCGGAGGATTAGCCTACTGAACTGCGGCGCCAGACTGCTATTTATTTCTGTGTGGACTGAGAAGGGAGCGGCGCAGGCTGGTCAGGAAGACAGCTGCATCCCACACTGGCTTTTTCTCAGCCCCGTGAACACTGCGCCCGCTCAGTGTCAGCTGCAGCGGCCATCCACACGCCACAGCTCAGGCTCAGGGTCATGGTTAAAACGGAGGGTCTTACTGTCAGTAAATAGCCAGCCACTTTTAATCTATGATGTAAGAGCCCAAATTCTGAGTATCAGTCATGAGCACAATTCACATGTGTTTCTAAGCACATGAGGTATAAGGGACCTTCAAAAACTTTGTGGGACATGTGCATGTTGAAAAATTATGAGTGGCTTTCAAAAAAATTTAGCACTCAAGTAAGCTTGTCTTTTAATTCCATTTTTCCACAAACTGCTCCAAGTATCCTCGTACACCAAAGAGAGAAGCAGTGACATTTGCCGTTACAGGACAGTGATGTAAGGATGTATTTGTCAACTCCTGATTAATAAGCAGGGGCCTCTTTTTAAAACTCCACAGACACCAAACAGTCCACTGTGAGTAAACTTGGTCTTGAGCACAAAAGTGTGGAAATGGGTATTTTTATGGATAGTCTTCCCTGCACACACGTGGGACATTCTGATGGAAAAACCACTCAGATTCAAAATCTGCTGAACATTTCAACAGAATATTTCTGTTTGCATAATTTCCACCACTGGAAGCACACACTTCACGGATGAACTAGGTGAAATGAAATTTTCAGCCAGTGAATAATGGGTTTTCCACAAACCTGGCAGAACTGTGGAGAGGGGGATTTTGAGGACAAAAGACAGAAATATTCATTTGTTGCCTTGGCCGGGACAGGCTTTCTCCTCTTCCCCGTCCAGCACCCTAAAGCGCCATTGCCATCTGGGTTCTTTCTGGATTCAAATATGAAATGAAAACCAGGGCATTTAGAAATATTTAAAAACTGGGCAGAGATACTGGACAAAGGAAATTTTAGAATGCCCTTGACTGGGGGGGAATTGTGCTGAAATGAAACAAGAAGAGAGGCAGGATCTGCAGGGCGGGCACCTTGTGGAGCAGGCTCGAGGGCTTCTCGGCGACAGCGGCCTTCCAGCAACCCCGGGGTCCCCTCCACTTGCGGATGTTGGGCAGGATCGGCTGGTTCAGCTCCGCACAGAACTGCAAAGACAGAGCACTCGTCAGTGGCTTCGTGGTCCTGCCCGAGAGGCCAGATCCTGGGTGCCCCACCCGGGAGGCCAGACCCTCGGTGCCTCTGAGCATCCAGCAACTTGAACTTCAGCCCTGGGCTCTCAAAACCCAGGGGCTGCCACATTTTATGTCAACTACAGTAAATAAATAAATGAAAAGTTCCAAGAACCAACCAACCAGGGTTTGCCAAGATGCAGACGAATAAAGCATGTCACACACTGAGAACCAGCTGTCTGTCTAGGGGATACTAATTTCTCTGCTGGGGATTCCAGGTCACAGAAACCGGCTTGCTCCAGAGCATTCTTGCCCAAATTGTTGAGAGAGAACTGCCAGAATCACTTGTATGCCCAAAAAAGCCGGTGGGTTCAAGGTCGCACTCAGGAGCGTCCAGATCGGCCTTGATCCAAGAGGACAACAGACAGCTGTGGGCATCTTTTCTCCAGAGCTCAGCTTGGAGGGGCACACGGTGCCCCCATGTGGTTTTCTTCCACTGTGCCTGGCTACAGTGGCCTGCATGTGCCTGCACCACCGTGGCTCACTCTTGGTCCCCAGTGTGCTGTGGGAACCAGCAGGTGGCCTCATCCCAGAGGCAAACAATGAACCTCACAGGACCCAACCAGTTCCTCCAACACAACGCGCCTCCTGGGGCTGGCTCTGGGACCGGTCTCCAGAGTCTGTCAGATTTTGGCCCAGTTTCTAAGTTGCTCTCCCTAGGCCACCGCGACACCCTCCAATCCCTTCACTCCCTTCACCTCCTGCCCCTGACTGAGGGTCTCCTGGCCTCCATCTGAGCACACAGTGGCTTTCACAAGCTGCCCTTAACGAAGCTCATGGCCGTACCATGTCAGCTTGCACCTCTATGTGGATGTCCCCCAAATCTGACCAACTTCAGTCACCACGCCCATTGATTCTACATCACATGGCTACATGGGATTTGGACCCCCACCACCCACGTGGGAGACCCAGGTGGAGTTTCTGGCTCCTAACTTTGGCCTGGCCCAGCCCCAGCTGCTTCTGGGGACTGAATAAGTGGATGGGAGATGTCTTTCTCACTGTCCTTCTGTCACCCTGCCTTTCAAATAAATTAATAAATAATTCATTAATTAAATCTTTTTAAAACCATACTTTACTTGACAGGTGAAGAGACATAGAGACCGAAAGACAGGGAGACAGAGATCTCCCATCTGTTGGTTTGTTCCCCAAATGTCTGTAGTAGTTGGGGCGGGGCCAGGCTAAAGTCAGGAGCCCAGAACTCAGTCTAGGTCTCCCACATGGGCAGCAGGGATCCAAGTACTCGGGCTGCCACCTGCTGCCTCCTAGAGTGCTCACCAGCAGAGAGCTGGAATTGAGAGCAGAGCTGTGACCCAAACCCGGGCACCCCGATGTGAGATGCGGATGTCTCAAGCGGCATCCTCTACACCACGTGCCCATCCCTCAGTGACTTTGCACTTCCAACACTGCTCAGGGCATGCAGGCTACGGGCAGCATTATTCCCCATGGGGGCTTCCCCTGGATGACGCCCCCGGCCAGCTGCTCCTATCTGGAAGTCTGCCTCTCACTGAAAATGAAACACTTTGGAAAATGCAGCCAGAATCAATTGACTACGACTTCGAGGCTCTGGTGAGGAACTGCACTTCATAAGCACCAATTTCCGGCCAGGGAATCGTCTGCTTGCTGAGAGTTCATTAGAGCCGAGAATCACTGAAAACGGGAGCAGCTCCCCAGTGCCCGCGTGGTGCCTCGTGTCCTCCACGCAGGGGTCCCTGCCTGCCTGCTCCTCCGAATCTCCCAGGATGCACAATGAGAAGCTCTATTTTTGAAGATGCCCCCTCGTTCCCCCGCCCCAAGTGGGGGTCCACCAACAGGCAGCCTCTGGGGATCTCACTGTACTGTGACAGGCAGCAGTGCCATCAGGTTAGGCTGCAAGAAATGCAAACTGTCCCAACCCTCACGAGGACCCTTCAGACACCTGAGGACAGGTGGAGCCCCGTTCACACCCCAAACCCGCCATTGCTTATTCACTCCCTTTCCCGGCCACACCGCTTTGCTGGTGGGAAAAGGCAGCCCAGGCTACTGTTTCCAGGCTCACTGCTCTCAGGCCCCATCCCACACCTACTTAACACTCTCCGGGGCTGAGCCCAGCAAACTGAATTTTTTTAAAAATTTATTTATTTATTTGACAGACAGAGTTAGACAGTGAGAGAGAGAGAGAGAGAGAAAGGTCTTCCTTCCGTTGGTCACCCCCCAAATGGCTGCTACAGCCAGCGCACTGCACTGATCCGAAGCCAGGAGCCAGGTGCCTCCTCCTGGTCTCCCATGCGGGTGCAGGGCCCAAGCACTTGGGCCATCCTCCACTGCCCTCCCGGGCCACAGCAGAGAGCTGGACTGGAAGAGGAGCAACCGGGACTAGAACCCAGCGCCCATATGGGATGCCAGCGCCGCAGGCGGAGGATTAACCAAGTGAGCCATGGTGCCGGCTCCCCCAGCAAACTGAATTTTAACAGCCCCTCCTGATGATTCTGAAGTTAAAGCTCATCTCATGGACGAAGGAAAGGCATTCCTGGAAAGAAACTCTCATTTCTCTGTTTTAGTTTTTTTTTTTTTTTTTTTCTGCTTAATGATTTGTTTATTTGAAAGGCAGAGTGACAGAGACAGAGGAGAGACACACAGAGACCGATCTTCCATTCTCTGATTCACTCTCCATATGGCCACAATGGCCAGGACTGGTCCAGGCCAACGCCAGGAACCCGGAACTCCATCCAGGTCTCCCACACGGGTGGCAGGGGCCCAAGCACTTGCACCATCTTCTGCTGCTTTCCTATGTGCACTAGCAGGAAGCTGGATTGGAAGTAGAGCAGCCGGGACTTGAACCAGCACTCCAGTAGGGGATGCTGGCATCAAAAGGGAAGACTTAACCTGCTGTGCTACAAAGCCAGCCTCTGTGGTAGATGTGAAAGCCTGGTACTCACAGACCAGCTCTCAGAGCCTTAAGGAGGTGCAGTCCCTGACACTCAAGGGCCATGGAAAAATCTGTCCACCTGAAGCCACACTCTTGACACCTCTGTTGTCATAGAGCAGCCATCCCTCACTCTGCCGTCCTCTTTAGTATTTCTCAGGCTACAGAGCCAATTACTAATGTAGGAGACCAGGTAGGAAAACACGTATGGCTGGAAGCACTCCATGCTCCAATTTCCACAAGCGCAATTAAGTAAGGGGCAGATATTTTTGTCTATCTCCAGAAGACTGACTCTGCTGCACCACAGTCCGCATTTGCCCAGGGTTCCAGGGTGGCTGAGGACTCCTCCAAGTATTGACAGCCTGCTTGAGAGCCTTCCTGTTAGGTCCAGGGCAGATGCTAGTGCACACAGCATCTCTGACCCCTGGCAGAGCCCCCAGGAGGCAGACCATTATTCAGGTGCAGGATGCCTCACGGAAGGTTGAGTCCAAGCTCAAGTTCAAATTTGAGGTCACACAGCCGAGAGCATCAGATGGTGGGTCCAGCCACAGGTCTGTCTCTGGCTGCTCTGCCTTCTGCCTGACAGGAGGAACAGGTGGCACAGGGCAGGCTCCAAGGGGATGATGCCAGCCCCTGCCTACTGAATTCTTGGATTCTCCCAGAAACTTCACAGGGGCAAAAAAAACCAGTATCCTCTGAGAGCCCTCAACCTAAACATAACCTTATATCATTTTATTTAGAGCAGTTCATTCTGGTTTTTTGTTTTGTTTTTGTTAAAGATTTATTTATTTATTTGAAAGGGAGGGCGGGATCTTCTATCCACCGGTTCACTCCCCAAATGGCTGCACCAGCTGAGGCTGGTCTATGCTGCAGCCAGGAGCCAGGAACTCCATCCTGATCTCCCACGTATGTGCAGGCAGTGCTCATATGGGATGCTGGCTTCACAGGCAGCAGCTTAACCCACTGCTCTATACTGCCAGCTTCCACCTGTGCTTCTTAAACCCCAGTCATCGCCTGCACCCATCATGATCACTCTGGGTCTCATTCTTGAAACAGTGGATTCACGGCCCCATCCCTGACCAATCAGACAATCTCTGAGGCTGGGGCCAGGCTTTGTACTTCTAACAAGCTCCCCAAGGGGTTCTAAGCCAAAGCTGGAGAAGCTCAGACACGGCTACAGAGATGCTGATTTAGAACTCAGCCCAGTATCTGCCCTCTGGAAAGACAGCTTTGATTATTCAAAACCCAACACCTAGGAAGTGTCTGCTTGTGGCTCCTTGCAGACAACCCCAAGAGGGGATGAAGAAAAGGGGGCCCAGTGACAGAACAGAGTACCACAGGCATCCAACAGGTACTGCCTGAATGAATGAATGAATGACTACCCTAGGGATCCCACCCTGCAGCTCCTCTCTCCAGTAATTTCTCTAATAATTTACGAGAATTAGCATAGGCTCAACTTGTTTTTCTAGTGTCAGACCTAACTGGTGAGGGGGGATATGAAATTATTTCTTAGCACCTGCCCCCAGACCAGCCAGTCAGACACAGAATAGCTGATCACCACCCCAGCCTTGGGCTTGGCGACAAGGAGCCTACATCAGACATCCTAATGCCAGTCTACGACGCCCAAGGTGCTGGCAGTTAGAGATGCCGGGTCCTGAAAGACGAGACTTCTCTGACTGTGACGCAGGCTGCTCTGGGCCTGTCCTGGGCCCTCTGAGCCCGCTCTCTCTCGGCAGTGACAAAAGGGCCAGGGGGTCGAACACAGTGGCCTGTGCTTGTGGATCTTCGGAATTGTTTTAACTTGCCCCCCCCCCCCTTCTGAAAGGAGTATTTCTTTATCATCTGGACCTGATTGTGAAGTAAACACAATAAAGCTGCTCCAGCCTCACTCAGGGGACCTCCGGCGACACGAGCCCTGGACCCTGGGAGTGCTCTGCAGGATGTGGTGCCAGTGGTGATGGTGCAGGTAGCACAGAGTCTCAGGGGACCAGCAGACATTTTAAAACAGACTGCA